TAGACTAATTAAAGCGATCACACCCCCATCGCAAATCAGACTCAACGAGGATTAGGTGTGGTAAAAATATTATATACAGTGTATCTTGTCTTGCCCTGTCCATTCGGTTGACTATTCGAGAGACGAGCTTACCATAGTCTTAATATTACTACAAGACTGTGTTGTCAGTTGGATAAAAAATAAAGACACTGGGCTTGACCTGTCTTGCAATTGAACGGTGCGACCAGATTATATGCAAATGGTACAACTGTAATCATCCTTGTGCAAATAAAAGTCTGTATTAAAAACTATAAACCGTGTTATTTCCTGTGTTGCATATCATTCATAACACCATGCAAAGGAAATAGTCCATATAAATCACTATCAAGATTGAACAACACCTTCTCCTAAAACCTGGCCATAAAAGGATATAGTTTCTAAATAGATGCTTTTTTTTAAATTGCAGATTGTAATAAACCCATCATTGAATGCTGATTTTAAAAACATATTAAAGTGCGTATGAGAGGTTTTGATGATTCTCTAATTTTGACTTAATTTGGTGACACATTTTAGACAGTTCCATATTGATGATTACGATTTACACAAAATAAAAAAAATTTTTCTGATACTTTAAACATTATTTTAACAAAAATAAAGGTGTTTTGTTCCATTTTTATTTGTAGAAAAATTACTTCTGTACATACAAAAGTGTTTTAGACCACAGTAAAACATGGTTGCTAGTTAACTTTTTTTTTTTATTCTCTAATGTGATTTCCAACCAGGAAGTAAACTTTTAAACTTAAAAAATGGCCAAAATGGGAAAAGAATTATACCATTTTAGGTAAATCTTAAAAATAATGATCTTAAGTGTGTTTTGGTAAAATGTCTAGTGAACGCGGCTTATTCAGACTGATTCATACCTACTCTCTCTACTTTATTTGTAGACTGTATTTAAATAGGCTTTGAATGTGTAGTTTAATTGTTGTATAATCAAAATTAAATAATCATATCAAAAACTTGTTCTTTCATTTTTTATTTATAGGACGACCTGATAAGGCTAATACAAAAATTACATGAGGTGACATAAAGACTGTACACCACTGCCAAGTTCGAATAGGCCGACCATAAAACCAAATTATTTAAATGTCTTCAGTATTGTCGGTTATCAGCTTGTTCACTTCCAACGAACCTGTTAAACTTCAACAGGCTTATCTTATTACACGTACTTTTCATGCAAATTCTACTGTAGCCCAAATGTGTACTCTGTAGTTATTCTTGAAAGGTAAATCTAAATACATACTCTAAATACTCAAAACATTTTACATTGCATTATTCATTCGCCTGGCCTGGGTAGACTGGACTGATTACTGATGTCATCAACACTCCCTGAACTGTAGGCACTGCTCTGTCTGAAGCTCTGTTACTCAAGTCAGACTTCAATCTGAGTTTTGTTTTAACACAGTCTGACCAGAAAGAGCTGATTTAGCTGGAACTACAGCAGGTGAGATGATTTGAGCCGGTAAACATGTCTCGTACACATAAAATTACTGTCACAAGTTAGATAGCTTTTGATTTTCAGTTAGTCACTCTCACCTTTTTTGTTGAAAATCAAACACCTAAACAGAACCATGCACACTCGTATTGATCACAGACTCCAGAAAGTGTGTTGTTTAAATCAGTTTAGTTTTTGTTCTGGAGTTTTCTAACAACTTTTTTGGTAGTTCTTGCTAATGTGTGCATTGTTGTGTCACTATGGTAACTGCACTCCCAGCGTGATCCCACTATCAATAGGGATGGGACAATAAATCATGATAAAAAAGGTAGAGCTTAATCGTTAGTGCTGTATTTCGTAATTTTACGTAGCTTCTGAGATCTGATGGGATCAGGCTTTGACAAGCTGGTATGGCCTTAACTCAATCTGGACATCTGGGTTCTACCTTTTTATATCATTAAAAGGGTCCTGAAGATGTTTGTGAAAAATAGACTTTATTATAAAGCACAGTACCTATAACATTTACTGACTCTGACTGTTTAAAAGAAATTGATAAAATAGCAAAAACATGATGTGCTGACTGATGTGCAGATGTTGTAGGTATAGTAGGCTAACTCACTCATGTAAATGTAATAAATACAAAAAACTCTAACTTTAGTTTGATTTCATTTTTTTTGTCAGTATTTGGGATCGTTTCTCTTCAAACTATTCTCCCTGTCTTATTAATAGACTATAATGCCAATATTGCTGTAAAAATAAAGAAAAAATTTGCTGGATTGGGTATCTGCCAAATATCAATCTAGCTGATATCCTGGTTAAATAAAAATGTATGTAATAAGACTATTTACTGGTCATAGTTGACCCAGAAAGTCTCAAGGTTTGAACTTTTGATATATACACACAATTTTTCTATAGTTACTAGAGATATGAATAACCTCTACATAACACATTTGGATCAGTTTTGTCTTATGTTAATCTTGTTTGAAGGAGAAAATGCTAAGTTCTGTCTCTACACTAGTATCAGGTGCAAATGTTAACTCTTATCAAAATGCAAAAGTGCAGTTCTTATTTCACTAACAACCACTGTTTTATTGCCCCATGATACTACTCTCTATTTAAAGACCGACTCTGACAGGGGCAAAGAAACTCCTTGGGTGAGAGCTGCTTGGATCTGAAACACCATCTGATATTTTATTTGGCAAGATACTTAAGTAAAAAGTGGTGGAGACGAGAGGGACAAGGTAATTTTGTGTGTTTATTTGATGTACTGTCAAGTATGTCTCAGGTCATATACAATGTTCAGTTAATTTTACAATCTGTGTATGTTTTTTTTCAGAAATGCCGCATCTAGCCTTGTCACTGTTCTTGGTGTTGTCCTGCCTCACCGTGCTTTGTGCTGGTACACAGCGCAGCCTCACTATTGAGGAAGAAATCTTGGAGAAAGGAATCATTGAAAATGAAGTTAAGCAGTCTCATGTGTGGCTTAAGAAAAATGCTAAAGAACTTGCTGCATTAGTTGCTGATGCTTTTGCAAGTATTCCCGAAATTGGCCCTTCAGTCAGTGCAATCTTAAAAATGCCCTTAAGGCTAATCCCAGAGGAAGACAAACTGGAAACGATTCAATCTGAAATGGCTGCTCTTAGTACAAGACTGGACATTTTTTATGAAGAGTTGAAATGGGCCTCAAATGACTTCCAGAAGGTTTTCAATAATATAGACCACGCCTGGTTAAAGTACAAGCAAATGGAAAATAATGAAAATGCCCTTAAGAGCATATTTTGTCCATTTTACAGTCAGGATGCTGACAGTGTTTCAGTCCTACACAAATTAATTTCTAAACCAGAAACCGGTGAACAGGGTCTACCAGATATGCTTGCAAAAAAATTAAGATGCCATGAAAAACATTTGGAAGCTAAATTTCTGTATCTGAGAAAGCTTGTATGCAGGGGAAATAAGATGGTTCAAAAGTGCTATGAGTTGATGGGGGTGGATAAGAGTCTCATCCCTGACCCTGTAGAAATGTTAAAAGAATCTAATTTGGCTTTATTCAAGACCCAACAAAGCTGCGTATCCAACAGTGAACTTTATATAAAGAGAGACATAATAGAACGCATTAATGATGAAATAGTTCACAAAGACATAGCAAACAACATTTACAATTTTCTGAAGGAAAAGTATGACAGATATGACTGGCTGGTGGTTGCATTCCCAACTCACTTTTCAAAGGACACAGCAAAATTCCTGACAAGCCACATTTTTTCAGGATTCATTGGGGTTCAGAGGGGTTCTGTTACTGTAGCAGTCGCCCGTCAAGTTACTGGGAGCCATGAAAAAACTGAAGATATTAGAAAAGGAAATAAATTGAACAACATGAAGTGTAGCAAGGTGGAGGAAAAACTAAAGGAAGAGAACCTTATGGATGCCGTAACTGCTGTGCATGTCTACCGGAGACCACTCAAAGACAATGCAAACCAAAAAAATGTAAACCAAAAACCAAAACAAAAAGAAGAAGAAGAGGAGGAGGAGGACAAACTTGCTGTGAGCGTTGTGACTGGTGCAGACAACAAGTTCACTATCGTTGGAAAATGTACAAGAAAAAATCCACTGAGCAAACCTGGATCCTACACAATCATGTTTAAGAGTGATGAGGAGTGGAACAAACAAACCCTCTGTCCTAAGGGTTTTTGTTTGAATGGAGGGACATGTGAGGTTGCACCACGCATAAATATACCCATGTGTCTGTGCACAGAGCTGTTTTACGGTAGACGGTGTGAGAATCCGAAACCACCTATAAAGGTCACTGATTGTCGAGAGAGAGTTGAGTAATTTTACTTGTGAGAAGTTGGTCAGCACCAATTGGTTGTGTGAAAATAACATATAATAGCATGTCCTGAAACTGTAGTTAACCTAAAAGGAAATAGTGAGGGGCAATTGTTTTATTTGAATAATTGTAAGTTGTGAACATTTGCTCATAATTATTAATTCTAATATCTGTAGATGCTAATGGGGATCTGAATACATTTAAATACATCTTCACTTCGCTTAAAGTTGATTTTACTAATGGTCTTGTATTGAAAACATCTAAATATGAATGGTTTTATGGAGAACAGAAGTTAATAAAATCTCACATTGCTTGCCACAGTCTGTATTTCCTTCATTGCACAGCCTACACTAATTTACACTGGAAGCTGTACTGTTGCAGCTAGGTTTAATATTAAACCCTTTAAACTACTGGGCACATTTGTATTCACAAGTATAAAAACAGATAGTTATATTAATTAAAGCACATTCTCTTGTATCCAGAGAGTTTTTGTGGTCTCAAAATAGGTCTAGTGTCATTTCCTTTGTCTTGAAATCAATATTAATACATTATACTGTACTGAGCAGGGACAGAAGTGGTGGTTAGTTTTCGTCGGACTTTATCTAGACTTCCCATCAAAATAGCATCAAGACAAGAGAGTAGCGATGTCTTTATAAAAGGTGCCACAAAGTAAGTAGGTAGCGCTGGTAAGAAATACTACAGTATCTGTCCAATTCTTTCACATTTATTAACAAACACATTACATAAACTATCAGCAGTTCAGTATTTTTCTCTGCATGAGATCTTAACATCAATAATACCTAATAGCATATTTTAAAGTGCGTGTGACAGACTTTTATGATTCTCCAAAATTGACTTCATTTGGTGGGATAATACCTGCATACCTAAATATAAATTACAGTTTTTTACACCAGTCAAGAAGCAAATTTGTGAAGAAAAGTTGAAAAATATGTTGGAAATTACAAGAAGTAGAGAGTTTTGATATACTGATGACATAACATTAGGGAGAAATGTCTCTGTACATTAGAGGAGTACATCATGGTTTATTTATTTATTTATATTTTCAGAATTTTATGTTTTTTATGGCTTTTATTAGATTTTTACTGGTTTTATTGTTTTAGGACTGGTATGATAAAATTTTTAGCAATTTACCTTTTGTCGTCTTCATTTTATGATCTCTGTGAAGCACTTTGGAAACTGCTTCGTTTGTAAAATGTGGAATATAAATAAAGTATATTTGAATGCTTGCGAGGTAACAGTAATGTAATTCTTTAGGGTAATGTCATGATTTCCAACCAGGAAGTAAAATTTAAAACCTACAAATTGGCGAAATTGGGGAAAAAAAGTGAAATTTCATTTTAAATCGTAAATATAATTATCTTAACTGTATTTTGGTGAGTAGTCTAATATGTCACAGGCACTTTAAAATGTGATGCTTTAGACCCAGGGTTCCCAGCCGGCCCACACTCTGCCCAGTATATTAGGGTCCATGGCCTGGTCCAAGAGGCAGTCGACCTGTTTCTCCACCAACAGACCCTCAGGTGGCAAATCTGCACGCACATTCACTCCTCTGGTCCCCAAGGCCACAGACTGCAGGCCCGCGAAGGCTGGGTCTTTCTCAAATCCCAGCTTCAGCTCCTCACTGATAAAACAAAACAAACAAACAAAAATATGTATTAAATCATTATAAGCAACTAGATCTTTTTTTTTAACTTAATAATTTTTCAAGGCCAGTTTGTACTTTGCTTGGCGTGTACCGCATGTATGTCTGTGGTGGAATATTCATGCACTGCCACCGGTGACACAATGTACACATTAGAAAACACAAGCTGACAAATTTTTAGATTCAAGAAGAAAATGGTAAGTACAAATACATTTTGTAATTCCTTAACTGTAAATTATCTTAATAAATGTCCATTCACAAACAATGTAAAACATGACAAAATAATTCTAAATAAGTTTGCTTCTAAAACTTTGCAAATATTGTCTGATGAGATGCTGGCATAATTATATATTGCAAACGCCTCATTTTCACTCTCACTATTTGACCTTCTGAAAGTTACCTTGTAATAGTAGCTGGGTTAGCGCCCTCTAGCTTCCTCCTGGCAAAGTTCACTTTCTGAAGAGGATACCAGTTGATTTCTTTGGTGTCCACCTCTTTGGTCCACGTGCCTCCCTTCTTCAGTTGTTTCAGCTCAAAGTTCTGTGTTAAAGTAAATAGATTTATTAAAGAGGCACCACTACTCTGCAAAATAAACTGTAAATACTGTCATAGGAAAATATAAATATGGGCGGTAAGAACTGTATACTTGCATATTACAATAGCAAGATATTTAGATGATTTTTCGATATGTATGTTCCATCTGTGTATGTCCATCAGAAAATAAAATTGAAGACGTCATCAAAAAGTAAAACTTCGAAAACTAGGTAAAAAGATATTGTTTTTCCAGAAATTATTACTAAAAAGTATCACTAAAAATGCCTTTGTTACATTCATGTCTCCACATATCTGACCTTTAACATGGTCTAATGGAGTCATTAAAGAAGTAAAATCCTGCACATTTAGGCTGAGACTTTCAAACTGAAACTGAAAACACTGATGATGACAGTGATGGTATGTGTTAATGAAGTGCTCCACTGTCCCTTTTCCCTGGAAGCCTTGGAATCTCTACTGGACAAAACGTAAAAGGGTATCTGTAAACTTAACAACTATCGCTTCATGACATCACAAGGTGAAACAGGGCATTTTGAGCTTTTGAGATTGTGTGATTAATAATAAATTTACTCAAGCATGTGTGAATGAAACAAAACACACCTCTGTGTATGTTTTGGATGAGGTAACAACATTCTAACACACCTTAAAGCTCACAAGAGTCAATTTTAAGTAACATAGGGCCTTTAAATTATAAATCAAATACTCATGGTTATATCTTTCCTGCAATATCCCCATTGGTATTTTTTATGTTTCTTAAAACCGAGAGGTCACACCTTCCAGTCAAGTGAAGGCTCCTTGACAAAGACGTCCATAGTGTTGAGCAGCAGGTCTGGCTCTGCTCTGAAGGCTCTGAGTGAATGAACCATGACGCTCTGGATCAAGCCTGACTCCTGCAAAGGCTTCATCAGGTTCACAAACTGCTGCGTCAGTCGGAAAGGCATCAGCTCTGGCACTGGTAGAAACTGTGGGGGAAAGTATAACAACATTTTACTTTAGAAAATTGTAACATTCGATTATTATATTATGCTTTGGAGCTTTGGGGAGGTAGACAGACTAATAAACATGTGTGAATGAAACAAAACACAACTCCAGGTATGTTTCTGATGAGTTAACAACAATCTAATATAGCTCAAAGATCACAAGAGTCAATTTTGTTTTGGACCTTTAAGTATTTGTTAAACTGAATAAAGGAACTGCTAACCTGCGTAGCTGACCCAAAGGCGTGTCCAAAGTCTATACCGATCATGCCCCCTGTCTCTGTGTTGATCATAAAGTTTGAAAGATGCCGATCTCCAATCCCCAGCACCCAGTGACTGACACAGAGCAGCGCGTGAGAGCTGATGAAGTGAGACCTCAGGGATAGATAGGCCTCGGGGCTGTTACACATCTTCAGAAACGCTCTCCTAAAAATGCAGCAAACATTAGATAGGAAGTAGCTTTAAGTTCTTCAGACATTTGAGCAACTGTATCACAAACTGTTTACTTTAAGTCCCATATACACCTTCTCTCACTTGTTTTTCATATTTACTATGTACAAATTACATAGACAAATTACATACAACTTGAAAACTATAGCATCATGACATCACACGTTTCTCAAAACAGAGCATTTTGAGTTTTTAAGATGTAGACAGATTAATAATGAAGGATTACTCAAAGTGTGTGAATGAAACAAAACCTAACTCTGGGTATGTTTTGGGTGAGGTAACATTATAACATGGATTAAAGCTCACAAGAGTAAATTTTAAGTAAGAAGAAGAGATCCTTTTTTTTTTTTTTTTTTTTTTTTTAAAACAATTAATGACATTGTTTTTTTTTAAACTTTCAAATTATTTCAACATAACACAATTAAAGTGGTATTACTTTTATATAGTTGAATCTAAAAGGTGCTTACTTCAGTAGATCACGGGGCACCCACTGCAACACGTTTTGAAAGTTCTTCACCACATCAGCACGACTGGCTTTCCTTACAAAAGCAGGAAATAAGATATTGGTTATAGTTTTTCAAACAGTAATCTAGGTATTTTAGTATCATGAGATTAAACTCACCTGTATGCAATGTTGTATTGTGCTACGATACCTGCGTTTTTGTCATATTTCTGAGATACACTGGACAGAAACTCATTGTAAACTTCAAAGGGTCTGAAAATAATAAGACAGAAATGATTAAAGACAAAAAAGGAGATTTAAGGAGATTCTAGGTACAATTTACAGTGAAGTTGAAGTTTTAAATAGATTTATTTTGACATTAATATTAGACAACAACAGAATTTCAAGTTTAAAAGTGCACTGTGCAACTTTTCCAGTGGAACTTCCATCACTTGTTTCTCATTTGTCTATCAAGATGAGATTGATTGGTTTTGAATGTTACACAGTATGGTATTAAACCCTTGTTCATGGAGACCAAACCAGACCAAGTTACAGGTCATATCTGTGGAGAGGCAACCCCGCTCACAGTCAGAATGACTGTTTTTTAAGTATTTTTGAGCTACAACACCTTAAAATTGAAAAACTGTTAATGTCATTCCAGGCAGAGCACTGACATATCCATAGCAAAAGGCAAGTGACGAATCCTCAACCAAAAAGTTACAAAGCACACCTTTAATGAATTACTAATTATGGTAATTAACTAACAAAATGTGTTCCCAAATAATTAATAAATATTACTTTGTAGCTGTTTTTTGCTCCTTTTCTGTCGCTGTGTTGGTCAAAAAGTCCTTCAGTGTACAGGTATTTTCCATCCATTCAATGAGTCCAATTCTGCACAAATGAACAGAGTGAATTCAAACAAAAGTCGAACTAGATGACAAAAAACTGACATTTTGTAGTTTATTTTGTATTATATTATTACTTTAGACAGAGGTGGGACCAAGCCTTTGTTTTGCAAGTCTCAAGTAAGTACGTTGAGTCTTGAGTCACTGGCCCATAACTCCAAGTCAAGTCCAGGTTGTCTGCTTTAAGCTTCAAGTCATTTCAAGTCTTCAAACCAAAGTACCAATTATGGTTGGAATTGCAATTTATAATTAAATTTAACTATAAATTGTACATAAAAAATCTATGAGTATTTATAGAATATATAAGAGTTGTAGAAATTAATTAAGTTAATTTTTTCATTTTAAATGTCTTGACAAGATGTTAGAGTAAATCATTACAGTCAGAGTAGAAAGAATTAAGATTTAAAAGTGCTTTTCAAGTCTTCTCAAGTCACATGCCTCAAGTCCAAATCAAGTCCCAAGTCACTGACCTTCAAGTCCAAGTCGAGTCCCAAGTCTTAGTCCATTTTATCAAGTCAAGTCTCAAGCCCAAAAAATAGTGACTCAAGTCTGACTCAAGTCCCAAGCCATGACTTGCAAGTCCCCACCTCTGAATTTAGACACTTATGTAAAGTATTTAAACTAAATAATAAGTAATAAAAATCTATAGATAAAAACTTAAGATTCATTCAGCTCTGAAATGTTCAGGAAGGGTCTTGTGAAGCACTTCAGGTATTCAATTGGTTTTATAGGTAAGAAACAGAAAACACTCTGTTCCACCTCGTGATGTCATACAGGAAGTGCTCCACTGTGTTTTTAGACTGCATACACCTTCACCAGAATCATTTGGGTAATTTCAGCCCTGGAATTGTCAATGTCTACTGAAGAAGAGGTAAAATGTACTGTAGCAGTTAACTTAAAATCTACAATTTCATGACATCACAAGGTGGAAAAGAGCATTTTGAGGTTTGGCGATGTAGACAGACGAATAAACATGTGTGAATGAAACAAAATGTAACGCCAGGTATGTTTTTGATGAGGTAACAACAATCTAACATGGCTTAAAGCTCACAAGAGTCAATTTAGTGTAATATAACGTTTAAATTTAATAAAAGTGAAATTTTCAAAACTTTAAATAATTACCTTGTGTTAATGGGAATGACTTGATATGTGCGCAGTTGCAGGCCTCTGTGTGTACATGCGGTGTCGTGACTGAGTATTATATTCATGACAGAGAAAAGCTGCTCTATTCGCTGGTCCTGTCTCAGATCCTCTCCCCCCTTCACCAGAAACGGGTGGTCCCTCTCATCGTCCCCACGAATGATCAGGCGCTTGGGACGACGGATAGAAGACATAACTTTCACCTATAATGAGAAAATAAACAGCCCAAATTTGAACAATACAGTGTACTCATGAGTTTCAGCTTCCTGTAATAGGTGACATTTTGAAGCCTTTTTACCATTCAAAAGATATATTTTGTTTTAAATTGTTAATTGCTATGGTAACAGTCCTAATTTTTCATGATTCTGAAACTCATGGATTGGGAAGAGGCTCAAAGAGGTATTAAAATACAGCTCCTCAATCTAGTCTTATTGCAATAACAAATTTTACAACCAGAGTATATTTTGATACTAAGAAATAGACTGAAGATCAATATTGGTACCACAATGACAGTAAAATAATAAAATAAAATAAAGTAAAAAATAAAAATGCTATTTACCCTTTCATCAAAACCAGTTATTTTAGCATGGTATTCCGGCAGAGGCTTAGATCTGCCATCATATTGTCCTGTAGGAAGAAAAACACATCATTTTGGTAAATTCAATGAACAGCTCACTGGGATCCATATTACATTATTTTCTGATCTATGTTATAATGTTATTTGAACAGAGCATTTTGAGCTTATTTTTAATTTTTTTTTTTTTTTATAAAGATCTATATCGACCAAACCAGAAACGAGAAGACTCAGAGTACTTAAGTAAGTTATGTAAATTTAAATAAGGCCCTACATTTACACAGTTTACATATGTCACAAACCTGGTATCTCCAACTCGTTGCTCAGTGGTCCTTGTTTAAAGCTGCTCAGCCAGGGGGAGTATTCTTTTAGGTTGCCAGGTTCCTTCTTATGAAATCCTTTCATGGACATGGCCAGTTCATCCACTTTCTTCACAAAACTTTTATCTTTTCTCTTCTCAAACAGTTTACTGCCTTTAGCGCCCAGCAGACTCTCCACTTCCTTGGCAAATTTCTGAGGAGGATATAAATAAAACAGACTTGATTAAACACTGCAGTTGTCTCATTTGAGATGTTATGCATTACTGTAGGGCTGTGCAAATACTCGATTGTAATTCAAATTGAGAGTTAATGGTTTTCATATCAGTAGTTCATTAGTTCTTCTGTCAGTAAAAGCATGTGGTTTTAGAGTTGAGGCTTTGAAGGAATAAAAACATTTTTTGTACTTCTCAAGTTTTGACTGACAAAAAATAAATAAAAAATAAATAATAATAATACGCAACAGTTACTAAAGTTTATCAAATTTTAGAACAATCTTCTCAATCCATTGTACAAACCTGGACAAATTTCCGTCTGAAGGCCCCATGTCCTTGAGTGTTTTGATTTCCAAGTGAGGAGTACATTTCTTTGTACAGTTCATCCATCTGCTTCTTATCAAAACTGGGTTTCTCCAGTTCATTTTTCACACCGTCCCACCAGTCCTATGGACAACAAAGACATGCACATTAAATTGAGTTAATCAGTTATTACTGATAAAAACATTACCTTGAAAATCATGTCTGGATTGGTCAGCTGCTGCAATGCATCCACAAAACGTTTCACAGCCCCACCCTGGTCCAGTACACTCTTCAGTCTGAAAAACAACACCAAAAAATTAAAGGGCCCATATTACCATTTGCCATTTTCTGAGCAATGTTATAATGCTTATGCCTAATGTTTATATTTTAAAAATATTCTTACTGCTTTATTTACCTGTTAACAAACTGGCGCTGTTGGTGCCCTGTAGCAGAGTCTTCAAACTGGTAGCTCTCACTACTGATCATGAGGGCATAGACCAGGGCCTGGGGGTACGACTTTGCTATCTGCTCAATGCAATACTGAACCGCCACTGCCTCTGGTTTGTCCAAAAGAGCCACCATCTGGCTGATCCAGCCAATTAGCAGCCAGCAAGGCACTGACATCATCTTATAAAGAAAGATATACATTTAGCTGTTGAAACTGTACACTGTTGAGTGACATAGTAAGTCATACTTTTTGTGTCAATGTAATATTTGTGCTGATGAAAACTAACAAAAACAAAAATGTGATGACTCAACTATGAATAAAAGTATACACTTTAAAAACAAATAATATTATTTTTGGTTACTAAGGGTGGTAATAATGTAGGGGTCTTTCAGTGACATGCTTACAACTAAAAAAAGTCCAGTACCTCTTTGGTCATGATGTCCAGTGTTTCTGAAGGGTACAACTCAATGATCTGCAGCAGTCGTGGAAATTTAAGACGAGCTTCTTCAGAGTTCAGTTTGAGAGCTTTTAACATGCTTTCAATTATGTGAGCAGGGAGGGCCAGTAGATCTGGGAACTGACTGTCTGTAGGATAAAATGGGAAACATAAACATGAAGATTGACCCAAAAAGTAACAATCAGGGCTCTACCTCAATTATAGGCATACATAAGTTTTTCAGTTTCTGCTTCTTGTAAATGTTGCAAAGGTACTACATTTTAAAACCCCTTTTTAATACAAAAGAAAAAGCTGTACCTCTTTACAATAACTGCACTATTTGCACATACTTGCAGCCCAACAAAGGACATAGATAACTGTTCTGTATATAATAATAATAATGCATTAGTCTTATATAGATGCTTTACAGTTTGGTGCATTATTCATTCACTCCTTACTGGGTGGTGATAATAACATTTGTGCACCCACCACTTTAATTCTTGGCAATGTGGGTAAAATGCCTTGCCTAAGGACACAATGATTGTTTTTTTTCCCCCAGCGGTCTCCCATTCAAGTACTAACCAGTGAAATTTTTTCAGATTTTATTCATTTGTTTATTTTGTGCAATATTTCCCCAACTAAAACATAGCTGCACACAGAAGCACATTCCTAAAGCAGTGTTAAATATCATGTCAATATGAAATATAAAGTTTTCTCACCATTCTCCCTCTGCTCCTCCTCTCGTAGTCGTTTGTCACAGAAGTTGGCCAGAGCCATGTAGGTCTCTATGAGGCTGCCAGACTCCACACAGTCCTGTTTATACGACTGCACCTCCTCCTCGGCCTTCCTGGTGCCTTCACAAAACAACTTCAGGGCCTGCAGATGTAGACCAACTTCCACTTTCTGTAAATAATCATAAATAGAAGACATATTATATAAATTCTATAGATAAAATAAAATAAGGCATTTTTTCTTCCTGCTGTTTGGATTGTAGACATTCACTAAAAGTCTTGAAACTCCAGGTGCTTTTTGGATCTTTAAGTTCAAAATTATTAAAAGTACAACAGTGTGCTACCATACCTGTCTATCTGTGAAATTATTCAACAAAGTACTACAACCGTTCCAAAATATAGAAAATTATTTGTACTTTTTTATGTAAACAGATAATTATTAAAGAGTGATGCAATATCAATACTGTACTTAGTTTTTTTTTTTTTTTTTCTGATGTATGAATGCCACATAATTGTCTTCATGGAAATATTACTGCTTTGCCTTGAATGTTTCACAGTATTACAGTATTAAACTTTTCTAGATTAGATCAGCGGAGAGACGATCCTGGTCACAGTAACAATACATATAATAGAAATAAAAACACCTGGAGTTGAATGTTCAATGGTCGCAAACCCAGCACTAGAAACGTGCACCTTTTCAATAACAAAAGGCTACACAATTTGAAAATATATTTTAGATGTATCATGTTTAGTTTACCTTTGGATCTTCAGCTGGCCATGTTTGTCCTGACAGCCTCACCAGCTTCTTGGCTTTATCTGCGTCAATGGTTCCCAAAACAGAAGGACTGGTGCCCATTGCTGTGGCCATAACGTGGAATGACGTGCCTTGGAGTATTTTCTGATATCGGAAAACTTTGGCTGTTCCACTTTTGACTTCTGCCTGGAGGTCCTCTGCAAAAATACAGCTAGTTTGGTACATGCTTTTAGTAATTATGTGCCCTCAACTGCTACAAATTTTCATCACATTGAGGTGTGTGCAAAGACTTTTTATTTCTTTTTCTTGAGTATGAAGTAGAATTAAAATGTTGTAGTTTAAAGAGGACTATATACATTAGTTTGGATTAGTTTGCTTAATCGTTTAAACCAGGTTGAGTCTTACTATAATTAATTTGTAGTTTTGTCCTAGTTTATACATGGTTTTGTCCCCTGGTATGTACTGACTTTGTTCTGGCCTTGTTTAGTCCTGGTTTAGTCCTGGTTTAATCCTGGTTCCATTCCTGATTTAACCCTGGTTTAGTCCTAGTTCAGGTCTGGTTAGTTTAATTATTTTAGTCTTGTTAAATCTTAATATAGTCCTAATTTCCACATGAACTAGTACCTTGTTTATCCTTGTTTCTTTATCCTTGTTTGTTTATTTTTGGCTCTACTAATCTGTCATACTTTACGTTACATACCAAGCAGTGGAATAGTCTTTAACATTGTGTTGATCTGCTCCACAGGGCTGAGTGTGTGGCTGCGTTTGTGACTATAGCGGCTGTAACTATGGACCCAGCGCAGTAACCAGCTCCTGTTCGACTTGGCGTCTCTGTGAAGATCTTTCAGCAGCTTAGTCGCAACCGGGAAGTTATTCTATTGACAACAAATGCAAACAAACAGATGTGCATTACAAAGAGGTGGGAATCCTGAATGTTACAGAATTAATCAGGTAGATCGAGAGCTTTGCACTTTCGAATCAGCTCCTTTTTTAAATGTGGGAATTTTTCTGGTGGAGGAGCCGTCACCTGCTTTTGTCCATGGAGATGTTGCCCGCAATGTTCCACAGTATGGCATTACACTTATTTATCTCTATGGAGACAGCAGCTGACGCCAGTGGGCCAAGTTATATGTCAGATCAGTGGAGAGGCGGCCCACGAGCAGTAAGAATGCAAGTTTTTAGGTGAATTAAAAATCCAGTTATTGGGTAAATTCAAGATGGACACATTTAATGCCATACCCGAACATTCCAGACAAACCAATATAACTTTCCAGGGAGACATGCAGGTGCCACAGCCTCCATCAGAAAGGTTACACACTGTAACTTTAACTGCACTTTTAGTTTTTTTGTAACTTTGCAATGCAGAAACATCATATCAATGTCCATTTAACATTTCCCACATATAAAAATAATATAAAAATAAGAATATATGTTGTGTCACCTGACTCCACGCACTGTTCGCCATCTGCAGCTTCATGCTAAACTTGCAGTTATTCACCAAAGAGATAATGTCAGGCTCCCCATCCACTTCCATGTCATCAGTGGACCCCTGGCTTTTTAACTTTTCAAGGATTTTGTCCAAAAAGAAACACCTTAACAAAAACATATATTCATTTATTTATGTTATAACAAAAAATAATATTATTTTTAAAAAGCGCAAGTTAGATTATTTTGTTATTATTTATTGTCTGTACCTTGATGTAATGATATCATCCCAGACATTCACTGGATCTACTTTAGGATCAGGATACCGCTCGGTCCAGAGTCGAGTGAGCCGCTTCAGAGAGGACACGGACACTGAAAAACACATGGTAAATATTCTTAAGCCATTTATTTAAAATCTTAAATAATAAATGTTATATGGTGGACACGTTATTTCAACACATCTTCACACGTTTTTTTGTAGTTTTAGTATTACTATTAGCATTAGTATTAGTAGTGGTATCAGTAGTAGTAGTATCAGAAGTAGTAGCAGTAGTAGTAGTAGCAGTAGTAGTAGCAGCAGTAGCAGCAGCAGCAGCAGCAGTAGCAGCAGCAGTAGTAGTAGCAAGTAGTAGCAGTAGTAGTAGTAGCAGCAGTAGTCGTAGTCGTAGTAGTAGTAGTAGTAGCAGCAGCAGCAGTAGCAGTAGTAGTCGTAGTCGTAGTAGTAGTAGCAGCAGTAGCAGTAGTCGTAGAAGTAGCAGCAGTAGTCGTAGTAGTAGCAGCAGTAGTCGTAGTAGTAGTCGTAGTAGTAGTAGTAGTAGTCGTAGTAGTAGTAGTAGTAGTAGTAGTAGTAGTAGTAGTAGCAGCAGCAGCAGTAGTAGTCGTAGTCGTAGTCGTAGTCGTAGTAGTAGTAGTAGTAGTAGTCGTAGTAGTAGTCGTAGTAGTAGTAGTAGTAGTAGTAGGGTTATGGCTGATCATTGAATTTCTGTTTACTTACCATCCCCTTTAACAAACAACAGGAAGTCTTGGATTTCTGTTAGGGCCTGTACTGACTGCAGGATGGTTAGACGACTCTTGGTAAGCAGCGTATCCACACTGGAATAATTCTATTAAGAGGAGAAAATAATGCCAAAACAACAAAGACAAATTTTAAATAAACACAAACATATATTCAACATTAGATTATCTATGTATCAAATAGTTGCTTTTAGATATATACATGTATCGCACTCATTTCACATTGCTCTCAAGTAGAGGTGCATATCACACTTTTTATCACTATTTATGTATACCACACCTCTTTATAATCTTTATAATGCCTTTATCAGATCAGAAAACAGCCCTTTAAACTGCATAACGTCAGCATCTCAGTACCTGCATAAAGAGTTCCATGGCGTATTTGATGTAGTATTTCGCCCGGTCATAGTCTTCTTGCAGGATGTAGAGGAGGCTGAGTTCTTGGCTGTAATGGTTTTCCAGTAGTTTCTTTCGCTCCTCGACCTTCATCGCTTTGTCGATGAAGCTAAGGAGGGTCTGGTCTGCCCCCCCGAGCTGCAGCTGCTTCAACATGCTGCGAATCATGTGCTGCAAATACATTTCCTGACAACGAAAGAGAGAGAAACACTAAATCTTATAACTTCACAAAATTACTGCTGGTCATCCATTAGTTTTATCCTTGTGAAGCAATTGATAATTTCCAGTGACATCATACTGGGGGTGTTTTACATGTATCTGTATGGTGGAATGTTCTGTAGTTACCATGGTGACTATGCACACATTAATAAACACTGTCAAAAAATGTTTAAGTTTACGAGTTTGATTTAAACAGCACATTATCAGGAGCTTGTGATCAATACGTCCTCTATAATGTAAAACGGACAACTGTTGGCTTTATTATTGTGCTTTGATGTGGTAATACTGTAGACATTTACAATATCACATGGTAAACTCTCTGGTCTAAAATGTATAATTTTATTGCAGCAAGTTGGGAGTTGAGAGTTGAAAGTTGAGTGAATTATAAACCAAATAGACAGATTCTTGTCTGAAATCTCATACCCGGTGATAAGGCTCCGCCCACATCCTTTCCAGGTCAGGTGGAGAGCCTTCGTCGATGTAAACAGTGGAGCAGTATTGCAGAGATGCCCACTCGGTCAGGTGACTATACGCCTCCATTGCTGCAATCTCCCAGAAGTCCTTCTCTGCGTCTGTGGGTGGGCCATCACTCCACTCATCAGTGTTCAACGCCTGGGATGGACATGTACAATACACAAACACATAATACCACACTTTATTCCATATATATTGTGCAGAGTAATTCTGTATTAGTGGACAAGTCAGCTTAAAACTCACTAATTAAATGAGCTCTTTTGAATATAAATATAACATATAAAAATCTGGAGGGGTCTTCTTTTTTATTTTCACACAAGTTTACTTAGAAGTTGACTTTCCCCCATCTTAAGACATGCAAAATATCCATTCAGTGTATATAGCTATACATTTATACAGACAAGTCCAAGTTGATATACTCTAAGAAAAACTGTCAATAACACACAGTACCAAAAGTCACTGAAAACTGAAACTGTCTTCATTTCATGAAATCAGGATATTTACTCCTTATCTGCAAGCCAGTTCAAACAGTGGTTAGAAATTCTGGATATGTCATTATGTAAGCCGTATACACTGAATGGATATTTGGCATGTCTTAAGATGGGAGTAAGTCAACTTCTAGGTAAATTTGTGTGAAAATAAAAAAGAAAACCCCTCCCGATTTTTTACATGTTGTAGAAGCTACATTTTTTTCTATTGGTGACATTGAGGTCAGGCGTGTCCTACTGTCAATTTCAAGGTCAAAATAGGTCAAAAGGTAATTCATCTCAAAAGTACTCAAATGTAAATAAATGCCAGATTTGGACTCTTTATGATTTCCCCTTTTCACAGATACCTTTGGTTTTTCATATCGGACCAGTAGTTGCTGAGTAAATGCAATTTGAAATTCAGCAATCAAGCAAAAAGTGAAAAAATTGCGGTATCTCTGAAGCCATTTGTCCGATCATGCTAGAATTTGAGATTTTGGCTTTCTTGGCTATGACCTAACCATACACCAATTTTCTTTGCAATTGGACAATGTTTCAGTGAACTGAGGTGGAATTACCCCATAACAACTACCATGACAATGACCATGGCAACCACCATGACAACCACCATGACAACCACCATGACAACCACCATGACAACCACCACCATAGTTATGGTGGTTGCTATGGTGATTGCTATGGTGATTATCATGGTGGTTGCTATGGTGGTTATTGTTATGGTGGTTGCTATAGTGGTTGTTATGGTGGTTGCTATAGTGGTTGTTATGGTGGTTACGGTGGTTGCTATGGTGATTGTTACTATGATGGTGGCTATGATGATGGTGGCTATGGTGGTAGTTGTTATGGTGGTTGTCATTGTGGTTGCTATGGTGACTCTCATGGTGGTTGCTATGGTGATTCTCATGGTGGTTGCTATGGTGGTTGTCATGGTGGTTGCTATGGTGGTTGTCATGGTGGTTGCTATGGTGGTTGTCATGGGTGGTTGCTATGGTAGTTGCTATGGTAGTTGCTATGGTGGTTCAATGTTGGTGGTTGTTATGGTGGTAGTTGTCATGATGGTTATCATGGTGGTTGCTGTGGTGGTTGTCGTCATAGTTGTTATGGTGGTTGCTATGGTAGTTGTTAGGGTGTTGATTGTTATGGTGGTTGCTATGGTGATTGGTACTATGATGTTTGCTATGGTGGTGGTTGTCATGGTGGTTGTCATGGTAGTTGCTATGGTGATGCAATGGTGGTGGTTGTTATGGTGGTAGTTATGATGGTTGTCATGGTGGTTGCTGTGGTGGTTGTTGTGATAGTTATGGTGGTTGCTATAGTGGTTCCCATGGTGGTTGCTATGGTGGTTCTTATGGTGGTTGCTATGCTGGTGGTTGTCATGGTGGTCATTGTGGTGGTTGCTATTGTGGTTGTTATGGTGGCTGCTATGGTGGCTGCTATGGTGGTAGTTGTGGTTCTCATTGTGTTTGTCATGGTGGTTGTCGTGGTGGTTGCTATGGTGGTTGTCATGGTTGTTATGGTGGTTTTCATGGTGGTGGTCATGGTGGTGGTTGTTATGTTGGTTGTCATGGTGGTGGTTGTTATGTTGTTTGTCATGGTGGTTGTTATGTTGTTTGTCATGCTGGTTGTTATGTTGTTTGTCATGCTGGTTGTCATGGTGGTTGTCATGGTGGTTGTTACGGTGGTTGCTATTGTGGTTGTCATGGTGGTTGTCATGGTGGTTGTTACGGTGGTTGCTATTGTGGTTGTCATGGTGGCTACTATGGTGGTAGTTGTGGTGGTTGCTATGGTGTTTGTCATGGTTGTTATGGTGGTTGTCATGATGGTTGCTATGGCGATTGCTGTGGTGGTTGTCATGGTGGTTGTTATGGTGGTGGTTGTTATGTTGTTTGCTATGGTGGTTGTCATGGTGACTGCTATGATGGTTGTTATTTTGGTGGTTGCTGTGGTGGTTGTCATGGTGGTTGTTATGGTGGTGGTGGTTATGGTGTTTGCTATGGTGTTTGCTATGGTGGTTGCTATGGTGGTTGCTATGGTGGTTGCCCTGGTGGTTGCTATGATCAACCATCATGACAACCATCATAGCAACCATCATAGCAACCACCATAGCAACCACCATAGCAACCATAACAGCCACCATAGCAACCACCAATGAGTTAAACCCTACGTTGTCAAATTTTGATGAAACTTGGCATGTAGGTAAATCATAGCCAGAAAAGCCAAAATTTTAAATTTTAGTTTCATCGTTTCCGAAATATCGCAATGTCATTTTTTCACTTTTTTGTGTGGTCGCCGAATTTCAAATTGCATTTACTCAGAAACTACTGGTCCGATATCAAAAACCAAGGGATCTCTGGAAAGGGGCAATCGTAAGGAATTGAAGAAGAGCTGTGTAGTCATGTTTTTTGCAGTTATCTCTTTGCACTAAAGTGTTAAACAAAGCTTTGTGTGTATTTTTATGTAGCATATTGACTAAAACTAAATATCAGCCTGTACTGGAGATTTAAGACCGGAAGCTGATACATTAAAAAGTTCAAATATCTGACCAATATATTTCTAATTTTGACCTTTACTTTGGAATGATAATACTCTAAAAATTATACACTAAATGTAAAAGTAGCTCTGGACAAAGCATATGTAGTATTTTAATATTTCAGGGTTATTACAAATATTAATATAAAGCATCAACAGTACCTCATTGTAGAGTTTGACTGCTTCTGCGTAGTCTGTGTGAGCCTCAGCTTGAAGAGCAGAACAAGTGATAGACTTGGTCCCCACTTTACTTCCAAAGATCCCGCGCACAACATCAAAGTCCTCCAAAGATCTGTACAATCTAGAGAAAACACAAGCATCTAATTAACTTTGAAATGTAAAACAGTATAAAGAGGATAATATATTTAATAAATCCATTATACCTGATTTTTACTGTCATGAGTAAAAGAATTTTAAACTTTTTGCAGATCCAAAGTTAATCCGGACTTTCCTAGCAGCCTAGCAGTTTATAAGGACTTTTCAAAACCATAGCCGAGCTTGCCATTACAGTAACAACTAGCATTCTAACAGCACCCTTTCAGGTTCTCTGATGACAAAAAATGTTTTAGAAATAGATCTAGCTAGCACAAAACCATCTTATTTTGAGCATGAGAGCAGATGTAATCATATATCTGTACTAGGACAAATTTTTTTTTCTTCATTACAAGGAAAAAAATTTGGTACAAAAGGTAAATGAGACCTTGCGAGGTGAATCCACTTATTGGTGTCAGGAGGGAGCTCTTTGGGCCCTCTCGATCGTTTGGATGGTGGCTCCATTGGGACTAAAGTGTGCAACAATGCCTCCTCCAAAAGCAAAATGCCTGATGGTTGTTGGAGACTGACCAGACAAGACGAGCTGATATTCGCTGGATCAATATCAAGCAGTTCTTTATGTTGGTAACACATGTCCTACAGAAAACAAAAACAATGTTAATACAGAATTAGGTTTAAAAAATCCACATCATTTCAAAAGGTCCTGTATTATGCAAAATTGCCTCTTGTGAAGCTTTAATCCACATTAAAATGTTGTTTGTCAGCTCAAAATCAAACACTAAAACATACAGCATGTAGCTAGATTGTATTGTGATACCTGCACACAGGCCACAAACGGGGGGAAGTAGATGGTACTCTTCTTCAGAAAGGTGTCCATGTAACATCTTAACTCATCTTTAATCCTCTGCCCCTCTGTGGATGATTTACTTTTCTGCATTTCGTGGAGGATCCCAGTAAACAGAGAGCTGAACAGCTGTTTGGCCAAAATAGGATCTTTCTACAGAAAAAAGGAAAATAAACATAATTTGGTGATTTACTGTTAACAACAGTAATGTAACGTGCAATGGCAATGTAATCACAACTGAGCCTACCAAACTGTCACTGATTGTCACATATTAGCTATTAGCTTCCTTTTGGGTTTAAGTCTTGCAAGCCAAAGCAGCTCATTTGGCTTTCTGATTTCATTATCAAAAAAACACAAAATGTAAACCCATTTTTTGAGGACCTACCTGGACCTTTGCTAAACCTAATTTTAACACCTTTATCCTTGAAATGCAAGGACAAAAATGTTTGGTCCACATATAAAAGTATGTGGATCAGTAAGTAAAAATCAATGTTAGATTTGCACGTTTATCATACTGAGTACACAGTTGAGAAATGCTTTTATATATTAAAGGTAAGCCATCTGCTTTTCTTCATGGTGATGGTATTACTTTGCCTAAAAAGTTTAACAGTATGGTATTTATCTTATTAATCCCAATGAGACAAGCAGGTGGCACCATCGGGTCAAGTTACAGGTCAGATCTGTGGAGAGGCACCATCGCTCACAGACTTTTCTTTGGGTATTTTTGAGCACGAAAACAAAGCAAAAGCAAAGCAATAACATCTCCATAGTGACAAGACTGTAACTTTTCTGGTGAGGGGTCTATCATAAAGTACACCTTTAAAGAGAAATCCTAGATGTCATTGCATTGTACCTGTGCCAGAGCCTGCAGTGGAGCGATGAGGCTGCTGTGAGGGATCTGAATATCTGGAAAGTCTCCCACTCTGTAGTTACGATACAGTGTCACCTGAGCCTCTCTTCGTAGCCTCTGATCTGCCTTCTCCTCCTATAAAAAAACAAGATAATAAATTAATTGATAAAGGGGAGGAACTTAATAAGTTCTAAGTTAATGTGTAAGTTAATTAAAATGTACATATTTTTTACCCTTTTCTGCCTTTGCTGTTGGATTTCTTTCTGGGCGTAGTTCAAACTGACTTTTTCCTGATCTTTCAGGAATCTGCGACGAAGTCTTAAGATGTTTCTGCGTTGTTCATTTTGTGCTGATTTAAAAACACCAGAATGAATATTAAAATAGTTAAAAGAGAATCGTAGAATAAAAACAACAGTGTAGTGAATATAATTGTACATGAAGTACAGGTTAATTAACACCACCATAAATTCTACTAGTACTACTATACTTTTTGATTCAGATCTTTTGGTTATATTTTATCTTACACTGCACTTAAAACATTACCACTTTCTCATGAAGTGCAATGATATGCACTGTCTAACAAAATGTGTCATTACAATGTATTTATGGTTACAGTTAAAAGGTTATTATAGATTGTTAACAGTGTGTTATATTGTAAGTGCACTATGTAACATTTCTAGTAGACTGTCTGCTACATATTTATCTCCATGGAAATGTTATTTACTTGCCAGGAATTAGGGTTTCTCCAATTATTTTTGGGCAATAAAACAAAAATGTAATTGAAAAAGTGCAAGATTCATAATTTTTAATGCCATTGTGGAACATTTCAGGCAAAGCTATAATCTCTCCCTGGAGACAAGCAGATGACAGACCCAACCAACAGAAAAGTTACACTGTGCATCTTTAACATTTACATACAACACATATACATTTTCTATAATTCTTACTGATAAAAGCAGCACCAGAATCAAAAAATAGTGAATCTGAAGTTGGTGAAAAAAGGTCTAACCTTGAGTGCGACTGTCCACTTCGTCGGTGGGTGCAGCGAGGCGCCTCATCCCAAAACCTTCTCCAACCGGTTTTCTGGACGTTTGTCTTTCGGATTTTTTATCGAAAACCATCAATGACGACAGCGACTCCGAGCCCAGCGAGTACTCAGCCAACGTGTCCACACTACTCCCAGTGAGCCAGTTATACGCCGACCTCCGACCTCCTGGGACAAAACAGAAATGAATAAATAATTACAACTCCAGAAATCTGATAATAATCAGATAGACATTTGTGTATTTCTTGTAATAAACAGTTTTGTACCTGGTGCCTGTGTTTGGCTGAACTCGAGGGTGGTCTGTGTAGCTCGGAGTTTCCCCTTCATCAACGCCGACTGAGATGCCATGACGCTCTCCGAACCCTGAGAGCTCTGAGTCTCCACAAACATAGGGGTCATCACTGTACTCCTGAAGCGCCAATTTGAGTCTATCACATAATCCTACAAAACAAGTAAGTTACATTATTGATTTGAAGTCTTCCATTCAAACTAAAAATATTACAATATCAATGTGCATGTTTCACAATAGTTTACTGACCTGAAAAGTGCACTCAGACAGTGGATATTCAAACATGTTTCTCTGGAAGTCTGGACTCTGGCTTGTCATTTCCAGCAGCAGATTCGTGGCCAAACTCAAAAAGCACCTCTCGATCTGAGTCGTGTAGAGCGAGCGCAGCACCATCGTCATCCGGTCAAAGGTCGCAGTGGGAAGACGCTTCTCCTGACTCCAGAAATTACGGACGTACAGCCTGAAAAAAAGACAGTAAGATATTCTCTGCCATGTATGCGTTTTTATTGTATTTATATTCTAACGTTCTTGATGTTGTGAGTTTGCCACAACATTCTAATGCCAGGCGAACACACAATGATACACTTGGTAACTGTGGCAAAAATGAAGCCAATAAATAAATATTATAGTCCCTGTTTAAAAGTCTCAAAGTGTGTTACTTACTGAAGACCTTGGTTTTCCTCGGCCAGCCCCTGAAGTAAAGTTTCTTTGGCTGAATTCAAAACCTCCACTGATGTGCTGTCCTCCATACTTTCTGAATCACTAGTGGAAAAAAACAACTGTGAATTTGGCTGTCCTATAGAATGACCTGTTGTATTTATTTTTACATCGATATCACAATTAATCTTGAAGAAAAATAGCTAAATTATAAAAGCAAGCAATGAGTAACATTGCAATATACAGCAATGATCTATAAGTATCTGTAAGTCTTGCTATAAGAATTAAAATGGTTACAGCTGTAAATATGCAGTAGTTGCAGTAGCATTGATGTACTAGATAGTTAAACGATTAAATGGGCCTATTTCTGTAAGATCAAGTTAAATGTCCTGTATTACGCAAAATCGACTCTTGAGCTTTAAACTATGTTACAATATTGTTTCCTCATCAAAAATATACCTGGAGTTGTGTTTTGTTTCAGTCACACTATGTGAATGAAACAAAACACAACTCCAGGTATGTTCTTAATGAGGAAACAACATTATAACAGATCAGAAAGTAGTGTAGTATAAGTCCTTTAAGTGTTGACAAAGGCAGTGTATTAAAGCATTGGGTATTTAGTGACCCTAAGTACAAATATACATAACCAACACAAAAATAAATACATTTACAGAACAAGATAGAGTATAAAGGCTGTGGTACTGACCTGTAGTTGTCCTGAATCCACATGAGGATATCGTACATTCTCTCTCTACACACAGGTGATGGGTGGGACACAAACGCAGTCACAGACCCCAGAAGCTCCTGCAGCTCCACTGGACTCAGCACAGACAGGATCTTATGGATGATGTCCAGACACACCCTCTGTCTGCCCTCATCCCTAAAGAAGACAGTGACAGAGTCATAAATAAATAAAAATGGATATTTAAAATGTTAAACATGACTGTACGTTAAAAGACAGTTGAAAATGTAAACCCCACTTATTTTTCAGTGTTGTTCCTTGCAGAAACTATAAAACTATAAAAATGTGAAATGAGAGTGACCAAAAAAAAAAAGTACTAAAATGAGAATTTCTACAACAACATGATCAAACACTCCATGCATGATGGTCCTTTCTTACAGTAAAACATGTGTGTAATGTGTTTTTATCTTGTATCTTGTGTATTATGAAGCTGATCTCCACTTGTCTTCCCACTTTTGGGAATATTTAATTAAATATTTGTAATACATGTAACAATGTATAATAATGACAGCAAAGTACAGTTTAAGGCCTCATTATATAGAATATACTTTGTTAAGATTAACAACTGAATGTTTTGTAATAAATTTAAAACATTATTGTACCAGTTTATAATAACTACACCTTATTCAGCCTTAATAAATGATGAACAAAGACTTAATTCATAATGAACAGATGTATAATGTCCCAAATGGGACATGTGGCGATTAGTACACTGGTAAATTGATTAAAATATAATAAAAATAAACCTTGTTCAGTGTTCCTCACCTGTGCGCCATCATCTGAATGAAGCCTGAAGTTTTGAGCTGCATAAAGATCTCTGGAGTGACGTCTGCTCGGCTCAGGACACACTCCAAACAGTTCGTTTTCAAGATGCCATGAAGCTTTGGCAGCAGGTAGAACGCCAAATTCACAAACCTGAAAAATACAATGAATTTCAAGTGTTTTACCTTCTTACTGTGAGCAGGGTTGTCTCCTCACAGATCTGACCTATAACTTGACCTATTGTCTCATGATGATTCATAAATTTAATACCATATGAAAGATTTTGGGCAAATCTAAAATATCTCCATGGAAACCCCAACCAAAAAGTTATACAACTAGTTATATATAAATAAAAAATAAAACTTACTTATCCATAAAAGGAGGAAAGTGCTTGGAGATTTTATTCAAACAGATTATAAATTTATCGTTCATTTCCTTTTTTCCCAAACTTGCGATTTTTGCTGCAGCAAGATCGAAGAGCTGCTGATGTTGCTGTAGGAATAATTTCAAGATTGTTACAAGAGCATTTGGAGATACGTATATATATTTTATTAAAAACTCCTTACATTGTCTCTTTCAGTCATATTCTTCAAGATCAGGCCAATTATCTCAGCTGCTGCTGAGTAGACTTCCTTATACCGTGTGTAAGTCACATTATTGGTGAGAGAAAGAATGTACCTAAAAAGTAAAAATACAAAAATAAAATACAAAATACATTGCATTATATTAGATTTTCACTGTTTGGTGGTAGGCTTGGTTTGGTCCTTTTCTAGTACTGGTTTAGTCTTGGTCTAGTCCAGGTTTAGTACTGGGTTTAGTCCAATAGATACATATAAACATAACTAAGCTTAAATGTTGATACTGTTAAGTCAAGTCTTCACTTTTAGAAACAACAACCTAGACCTAAGCAATTTCAAGATAATTTGACATTTACATACATAAACAAGAGCTATTGTGTTTGTGTCTGCTATATAACAATTTAAACATTTTAAAACACAATATTCATCTAAAACAACTTAATAAAAGAAACAAGTTTGCTGTCTTTCTTGTTGGTGTCCAGTGGTAGCTGACATCACCTTAAACGTCATGACAACAAAGAGTCGGTATCGCCGATGGATAGCTGCAGATCATGCTTGTGAGCAGCAATTTCAATTTCATTTGTATCAAAATGACTACGCATTTCACAGATAAATAAAATAAAATTGGAGAACGAATGGCAATAAGGTGTCTTGAAATAAAGTGATTAAGGATTGCTCAAACATGCGCCTATCACTCCAGCTACAACTTCAGGTGATTAAATGATGAGGGGAAACAACTACAACATGGTTAAAAGCTCTGAAAGGTTGAATTTGCCCAATAGGTCTGCTCTAATTACACTTACTTGTCATAGTCAATGCCACATGTAGCATCATAAGCAGGAAGGCTGTTTGCCAAGATGATTCCCAGAAGCTGAAGTCCGATCGAATTGTCTTTACTGTTCGGGTCCGTACCACAAAATCTGTCATAAATCAAACTACAAGAAGAAAACAGACATTAAATATAAGCCACATAATGCATAAACTTGTATACTTAAGAGTTATTCAGAACCTGTAGGGCACGTGTAGACAGTCTTTCCAACATTCAACCAAAGTCCGAATGATCTCTAGGTTGTGACGGAAAACTGCCCTCTTTGAATGAAAGCTGTTTTTCATCAAAAACTCCAACAAGCGGTTTGCCAGCACCTCATCCCTCGTATTACCCTAAAATACAAAATGTTTAACTACTTTCTAACTTGAGGGGATTTTTAAAGGTTCTATATTACGGAAAAGTGACTCTTGTGAGCTTTAAGCCATGTTATGTTGTTACCTCAGATCAGAAAATAGTGTAATATGGGCTCTTTAATATCAATAATACATTTATTCACCTTTGGGCTTGCTATTGTTGTCCACGAGAGTACAGTGACCACAATATCCACGACCATGAAGTGAATGCCCTCTCCTCCGTTCTTTTCAGAGACGACGAGCTGAAGGAGTGGCCCCAACCAGGACTTTGCATACGGACGAAACACCTAAAAACAGTAGCAAATATTAGGCCAAAATCACTACAATTACTACATTTGATTAATTGAAGATAAACAAGTCATCCTTATGTAGTTTCATGTCAAATGTTCATCGTACTACACCCCACTTATCCCATCTACTTCTATATATTACAATGAGTAAGGCTGCATTCACACTTGTCATGATTTGGCTGTGGCTTGGGCCCAGTTTAGTTTGTCTAGCATGAAATGCACTGTACTGTACACTAGTACAGTACAGTAGTAGTATTTATCTTAATTTATTTATCTATGGTTACTGTAGTGGTTAGAGATGATGTTATTTGGTCCTTTGTATGTCTAGTACATGTGGAGAAACTGAAAATAAAGAATTTTGAATACAGAGTTGGTCTATCAACAATAAATGTCAATGCATTTGGACCAAGCACCAAGTAATTCAAGCACAGTGAGCAAGAAAAGGTTGGTCCCAGTTTTCATGTGGTCTATGTGAAAGTGTGAACACACCCTAAACCAGGACTCAAATCAGACCAAACCAAGCCTACATCAGGACTAAACCAGATTCAAAGCAGGACAACAAAGTCTAATAAGGACAGAGATGGTACTAAAACAACCTCCTCTGAGTTGATGATCAGCTTTGCGATGAAAAGTCGGATGTTCAAAGGTGTGGCTGGATTCGACAGTTTTCCATGGAGAAACTTCATCCATGGTGGAAGATCACTAGGAGCACTCCCCTATTGAAACAGTAAATAAATAACACAATATTTCATTAGCGTAATTTAAGAATAAGATACTAGACAATAAAAGTCATTCAGAAACCATACCTGTTGAACATTAGGGGTGATGTTGTTTCTTTGCATGTGCCCGATCAGAGCTGTCATGGCTGCCATACACTCATGCTGGTTTAGCTCATCCATTTCCAGGTCGACCATCGCATCCTGGGAGGAAGTGGACTCCTCTGTCTCCTACATTTACAAGAATTAATGCATGAATTCACTTTAAACTTCACTGTGTTAGGAAAATGTAGATGACAAGGTACAACATAATAAACTATAACATTCAAAATACATTCACTCACAATTAGGGATGTAACAATAACTGAAATATATTTATATCATATCATCAAAAGTCTCACAGTAATACAGTATATCGAATCACAAGTTCCTCTGCTTTAATGTCTTGTCTTATAGTAGCAATATCTTATAAACATCAGGAACTACATATCCCATGATTCATTTCAGCATAAACAACATGAAGAAATATGTTTTTTACTTGAAGTCTTGGGATTATGACAGTAATGATTCACACTAAAATCTTGCCAAGATATTTTAAAAGCAAAAAAGTGTCCTATCTACAATCCGATTAGCCTCTCCAAAATATTGCAATAAATATCATACCGTGAGATGCATATCGTCATAATATCGTACCTAGAGATTTGGATATATAGGGTTACATCCCTACTCACAATAGGGTAACTCATTTGCTTTCAAAACATACACTTGGTTGGAGTATGTCAGAGAGAACCCAGAGTAACGATGGAGAAATATAAATAATGATAAAATGTAGTATTTTAGTACTACGACAAGATTTTAAAATTATAATTATTATTTGTACGGAAAGAAATACAACTGAAAAATAGTTGATCAGCTCTATGTGACCACCAGCATTAAAAGGTGTGAAAAGCACAGCTGCAAACCATTTAAAATAAACTTTTTCACGTTGTTCACATCTTTCAGAGACTAAAGACACTTAATTAATAATTTTCTGATAAAAATATGTTTGCAGTGTGATTCATCAGGGGATATATAGTTTTTTGGTAGGAGATTGTTTTAGGTCTGTCCATAAACTTTTAAAATACAAGCAATATGCACACTTTTGTAATTAGAGACCACTTGAAAGTTACAAATAGTGTAGTCATATACAGTGCTTATGTCTTACTTTCTTCACAGTGGCCCTCCTGCGCCCCTCTGGGTTTTGGGAGCTGTAGGAAAAGCTTTGCACTCCAGTTGAGAAATCAAACTGACTCATCTCTTCACTCAGACTGCTATCCGCCATGTACGACTGAGACGACAGGTACACTGGTACTTCTGCAATTTAATGCAAACATTTTAAATATCATTAATAATGTTTTTTTGTTATTTTAAATCTACGGGGGAAAGAGTTGAGATGAGCAATACCTCCATTTTCTTCATTGGCCTCTTTTCGGATCATGATGTATTTCTTTTTTCTCTCAAGGGGCACCTATATATGCAAAAGTAAAAACTTATTATGGTACTATTGTGATCAATTTGTAAGAAACACTGTTATTAAAACTATGCTGGCTTGAAACTCACTGACTATATTGGAGATTTTGGCTGTGCCATATTTATTTTTACAAACATGATTTTCCTTTTAGCTTCCAAGATCAAAATAGCAACCTCCTTGAATGTGATGATTAGCATGTAAGCATACATTTGTATTTATTTTACAATCGAAACAAAACAATAAAGTCATAAAGTATCATATATCTTATAAAACCAGTGACATCTCTAAAAATAACCAAACCAAAACATGTCACCACGTTTTGTACATTTTTTTTTTTACGTATCAAGATTCCAATTAATGATTTTTCTGTCAATTATTCCAAGAACATGGAGCATAGGAAAAGGCAGATTTTTCCAGCTCAGTTAGGCACAGAGACACATTTTAAAGTAAATTAAGATGTTCATAGGTTATGTGTATTATCACCAATAAATCTGCACAGAGAAAAGAATAAACAACATATAGTACCTCAATTTCAATAGGGAAGTGGTAGGTCCTTGAAACATCAATTATATTTTCCAGGATAAACTGATTCTACAAAAAGGAAAGAAGATTTTAAAACCTATGAACAAACGAACAATATCACAAATGTTTTTAGGATTTTTCAAATAGCCAGTATTACCTTTTCTGGTTTCTCGATGAACAAAAAGCCCTGGTAAAATTTGGGTTCACTAAAACTACAGCTGATGGCAGCGATGGCGCAGTTATAAGCAGCGCAGTGAAAATGTCTCCGAAGTTCAAGCAACTGAGTCTCACCAGCCATGTTCTCAGTAAAGGATTCGAAACAAGACCTAAAGAGTCATCAGATATAATGAGATAAAGTTAGGTGCACTATGTAACTTTTCTGGAGGGGGGTCCACTACTTGCTTGGCTCCGTGGAGATGTTGCTTTGCATGAAATATTCACAGTATGGCAATAAACATATCTATCTAAGGTCCAGGTACAGGTCAGTTCTGAGGAGAGGCGAGCCCACTCAGTAAAAATGTGCATTCATCAAGTTATCAAGCAATTGCACACCTGTGACTTAATCAAGATGAATACATTTAAAGCCATACTGTGGAATACTATCCATGATAATTACTTTAGTGATTTTAACATCTATAGCTAATTATTTTTTCATTATGTAATTTATTTGCGGGACCTCAGGCCTTTTAATGCTACTGTGTATTTAAAAGAGTTTACTGGGATTATCCTTCTTTATTTTTATTGAGATCTGATCTGTAACTTGATTTGGTCTCCATGAAGATAGAAAGGTTTAATAACATACTGTGAAATATTCCAGCCAAAGCAATAACATCTCCATGGAGAAAAGCATTTGATGGATCCTCCACTAGAAAAGTTACACAATGCACCTTTAAATTCAAGTATTAGTTGTTCTTACTTGATCAGAGCTTTAGACATTTCGTTTCCTTCAGTTTTTTCAAAGCGGCAGTAAGCCTGGTTGATGCGTGATTCTTTGGAGTAAACATCTTCTTTGGGGAGACGAGAGTAGAGCAGCTCCATCAGTTTGTAGCAACCGATTTTCTTGAACAACTGGAGTTCAAATGTTGTTTCACTGGACTAAAAGAAATAATAAAAATGTAGTATTTACATTAGAATATAAACTCCAGGCTCCTATGACCATGTGTTGAGAAAGATTTACTAATATAAAAAAAGAAATGGTCAACTAAAGACATGCCCTGTTGAGAATACAAGACTACAACTGCACAGGAGATCATGAAAAAACAGACAAGACATGTCAACAGCAAAATCATCTGATTTCTTTCTGACCATTGTCACTTTGGATTTTGTGGTTTCTGTCATTTAAATAATCTTAAAAGTGCAGAAATCAGATAATAATCAGTATTTTATGGTGTGCATGTGAATCATAGACTGTATAAAAAAGTGGACTAGGGGAGTGACGTCACCCATAGCGTTTGGCTCCAGTCAAATGAAGCTCATCAAGGCCAGGGAAATAGGGAAATTTGGAGCCGAGTTCCATATTAGGAAAAGGGATTTACTTATGGACAAAATAGTGAAATACAAACACCGGGATCATGTAGAGCGGCTTAATATGAACATTTTAAGACCAAAATGACAAGACTCATTGCAGCAGTTACAGAGAGAGGCGCCCATTTTTTTATGTAAAGTCAACTCAAAGCAGAAACAATGGAGCCAGAAGCACCGCCATACTCACTTACTATTTGGTATGCGGCGGCTCGTGGGTTAGCTATGAACACTTATATATACAGTCTATGATGTGAATGCAGTCAGTCGATCCTGAACTCTATATTTATTTTATGCAGCCAAGACAATAAACACTTTCTCTGTTTGTAATATATTTGATATTTGATAACATACCTTGGTGAAGCGAGTGAGCAGGAAAGTGATTATATCTGAAACATTTTTCACAAAGAAGTCGTTGAGGGCCTTGGTGGCGCAGTGAGAGGCCAGAGGCAGCAGGACCCTCTCTGTCAAAGCCTGGAGCATTGAGTTTGTGGGCACATCTCCGCTCTGGACTACTCTGTATATCACACACAGGAGCTCCAACTGCCTTTCTGTGGTAGCCCTATTCAGTAAAACAGAAACATTAACAATACAAAGGAATAATGATGTACTGAAGAAATATTGAAGACACAATTTCCACAAAACAAGATTCAAGAACGAGACAGGATGAGATTTTAACATAATTCCTAATACTGTATATACATAGTGTGATTCAGTATTTAACATATGTGTTGCAATTGCCATTCTAGTATTGCTATTTGAAACTATAAGTTGCAAGTTACTTGTGGTAATTTTGTCTAGCAAGATTTTGTGGCATGAGATCTTGTCCCATCAGGTTACTCAAAAGTGGAATAGTGGTCAATATAGTCAATTTCAATATAGTAGATGGTAAAACATTTAGTTAATCGGACTCACCTTTTAGCTATTCTTTGGAAACAAGCCTGAAATTGTTCCTCCATGATGTGCTTTTTGTCCCGACACAAAACACCTGCCATCAGTTTCAGCAGCAAAGGACTATGGGAAAGCTCCAATGCGTCTAACAACTAAAAGACAAACACATATTAATATATTAATACTCACAGTCTACTTTAGATCTGACTAGACTTACATTTGTCTAAATACATCTATTATAATCTTGGTTTATTTATTTAATATAATGGTTTAATGGAGATGGCGGGCTTATAGAATTTTCTGTTAAACATGCACACTCAAAATCTGATTATTATAAAATAAAATGTTTAAATAGCAAAATCATCCTTGTCCCTCTGATTACTCGCGTTAAATTTTGTGGTTTACATGTCATTTAAATAATGAGGTCCAAAAATGAGATAATAATCAGATTTAGGGCCTGTTTACATGAGAACTCTTACGGGTAAAAACAACAAAATATTTTATCAGAAGTGCCTTTCGTTTAGACTGTGGCAGCGCTATTGGGGCTTAAAAACGCTAAAATCTGAAACCACAGTCCAGAGTGGAAAAGTTGAATATGCTCCGCCGTAGCATTTCCATCTACACTGCCCAAGACGCAAAACTCTGGTCAGATCTCCTCACGTCGCGTACACGTTTACGTCACATACACGTTTACGTCACATACATACAGTACCACAGAAGCCAGGCATACATACCCAATTCCACACACTTTTGCGTCACCGTATGTACGCAAATTTCCTTCTGAAAACAATCGTCTAAACGCGGAATGAAAAGTGAATACACCACTTTTGCGTCTTCTGTTCAGACCGTCATCATATAAACGTAAAGCTGTGAGAAAGTTACCTTTTGTCTCATCACAAATTAACTAAGGATTTAAGATTATTTCTCTGTTGTGGCCTCCCTAATAAAGTTGGACCCTGCCCTGCATCTGAGAGTATAACACCATCATTAAAAACATGAACGCAACCTATGAAAAATCAAAAATTAATTCCATGTTTACCTTGCGCACACAGTCCATGTAGTTGTTGCGATGGAGAGATCCTTTGGCAAATTCATCGGACTGCATTGGGAAATGTGAGGCCACCAGGGCATCCAGCGCTTTCTGTAACTCCGCCAACGGCTGCTCAGGTAGAGTCGTGAAGAAGGGCAGCACCAACAAAGCCTGGCTCTGAACAGACATAAAATAAATTAAAGGTGCACTGTGGAACTCTTCAGATGTTTGTCTCCATGGAGATTATATTGCTTTAACTGGAATGTCCCGGTAAGTCATTAAACGTATGGCATTTACTCAGTATTGACCTAAAAATGTGGATTCTTATTGTGAGTGGGTTTGCCTCTGGAGAGAAGCTGGTGACAGACCTTCCACTAGAAAAGTTACACAGTGCACCTTTAATAAAACTGTATAAAGTTATTCAGTTACTCAGAGTTTTTATTCTAACCTTGAGATTTAGAGGCAGGCTCATGTCCACCAGCAGAGTTTTAAAAGTACTGAACACAGGTTTGAAGGCATTGTGGGTATTTGAGGAGCAGACAGAGGAGTCAATCTGTAGCAAGAAAGTAAAACATACATAACTTTGTTGGCAGTTACAGTTGTAATATTACTAAAATTACTAAAAACAAACAACAGATACACCTGTGAATAGTGAGACAGAAAGGTTGAAGAAAGTATTGTAACAAGACTACATACAGAAACCATGTTATATTTATTGATTAAGACACTTTTAGTTCTTACCAAATTTAAAAATACACTTAAAATAATCATATAATATTTCTTTTTGCATATTGAATCTGCACATTAGACTTTAATTTAACTTTAAACTTTATTGGTCCACAGTAAAAATATAAATGGTAATAACAAATTCAAAATAAGTAGCAAAAATAGCAAGAGACTGGTATCAGTAAGGCATAGATATGTAAATGGATATGTAAAATAGTAAAATAAAATATAGAAATACAAATATATCTTAGTTATATACAAGAGGTCGAAAGGCGAAACGGTGCAAAGAGAAAATAATGATTTACATGACAAGGGGTTATCTAAAAGTTACCATTTTCACTTTCACTTACTTGGTAAATGATAAAACAATAAAATAAACATACCTGTAGGAGCTTGGACAGCAGGACCAGAATAGCAGTTTTGCTCTCTGGAGTGGCTGCATCTCCGTCCCACCAGGAGCTCAGATCACCCCATCTTTTAAGCACCTCCTCCACCAGCTGTTTGCCCTGAGTCTTCCTCACTGAACGCTCCCTAAAACTGTGGTCCAGCATCCCATTCAGCAACAAACTCACCTGTAAAACAATAGCGATTAAAATGCTTTTTGAATTTTTTGGGGAGTTGGAAATTTGTTGTAGAAGTGGGAAATATGCCACAAAATTTAACTCAAATTTCAAAAGTCTTTAGGTCAGTGGTTCATAACCTTTTTACCCCCTAACTAATTCATCTGTTTACAAGAATATAATAAATTATTAGAATTAATGATATATTTTAGTTTCATGATACTGATGTCCAAAATCCTCCAGAAAAAATGTAATTAATTTGCGTACACAAGTTAGGAGACACTGCTATAAATCACAATTTGGGATACTAATCATAACAAATATATGTTCTGCTAGATACTGCCTTTGAAAGTAATTTGCTCTTTCTTTTGAGATAGGTCAAATCTGAAATATGTAAAGCTAAAAAAAATTATGACGGATTTTAACAGGTTCTGATCTGAGTTATAATATTGTTTCCTCATCACAAACATACTTGGAGTTCTGTTTTGTTTCATTTACACATATTAAACACACAAATCTTGTTTTTCGAGTTCTTCGTCTCTCATACAGAAAATACTGTTCCACCTTGTGATATCTCTAATCTCTACTTGCATTTTGAGTTTTGGAGATGCAGACAGATGAATAATAAAGGATTACTCAAACGTGTGATTGAAACAAAACACTCCAGGTATGTTTTTGAGGAGGTAACAACATTATAAAATGGTGAAAAGCTCAGAAGAATCCATTTTGCAATAGGACATTTAAACATAAAATACAGCATTACCATAGTGGGGTTTTGGGAGGCAGCCTTAGTGAGTTGGGGGACTGTGGTGGTCAGACTTTTGAGCAGCTCAGCATTGATGGTGGTTTGAAAAAGGCTATAAAAATACTCTCCATGAGAAAAGTTTAAAAAGTTGTAGCTGTGGCTTCCAGATATTGGCACTGAAAGCATGATGGTGTTCAGCAGCAGGTCCACCAGCTGTGCACTCTGTAGAGACAATGAAAAACATGAAGAAGAATATGTTTTTCTATAAGGCTAGATGTGTCATATACATTTCTAAATACAACAACAACAAAAACCCTAAGCCTAAACAGAATTTAAAGATGCCTTGGGTAACTTTTCTGGTGGAGGAACCATCAAATGCTTTTCTCCATGGAAATGTTATTGCTTTGACTGGAATGATTCATAGTTTGGTATTAAACCTTTCTATCTTCATGGAGACCAAACCAGACCAAGTTCCAGCTCAGCTCTACAGAGAGGTAACCCTGCTAACAGTCAGAATTCCTGTTTTTCTAGGTATTTTTGAGCTGTAAAACCACCTGTAATTTAATAAAGGTAAGGTGGAGCTGTTTAATGCCATATTGTGGAACATTCTAGTTAGAGCAAGGGAATATCCATAGAAACGAGCATTTGACAGACCCCCAAGCAAAAAGTTACATAGTGCACCTTTAAATACAAAATTTATCTTCTTAAAATAAAGTACATGGTTAGTGCCACAGAATATTACAATGTATAAAAAAGCTGTATTGTTACCACATATTATTATTATTAGCTTCAGACAGTAAAAGACAGTTACAAGTTATACAGTACGGCGTTCTAGGATGTGCTAAAATCTTTTTGTGTTGCCTAATCTAATCTAATTTTGTGTTATTTTTTATGTCTTTTAACTTCTTATTCTGAAGTTGTTTGTGACTTCATTGTCGATGAAAGATGCTGTATACAGTAAATAAACTTTGCTTCCTCGATACAAAAATTTGCCTTTGAAATGATGAGCTATTAAAATGTTCTGTTCACCTGTTGACTGAGAGAAAAGCCCAGCTGAAGAAGCCCATCTGCCAGTCTCTTCGTGTTCACATCCAGAGAAGGAAGAGCGCTCCTGTCTTTACCTGGAGCGATGCCTTTATACACAGTCATGAGGAGTTTGGTCCCAATTGATTTTGCATAAACTGCATCCTATAATACAATAAAAGACAATCATAATCATGGTGGACGTTTTAAACAAGTTGCATTTTGACATCTATATATGAATTGTGTGATCCAGTTTCTAATTTTGGACACACAATTTTGTATTTATATCATATTTTAGGTGCCATTCTAGTACTCCTTTTTGGTTAGTTACATCTCTTGCACATCTCTCACATGACCATTTCTGCTCAGTCCAATTGTAAACACATAAACAAAAATCAGATTTTGTCCCTTACTTAGTGACTGTGCTAACATGCATTGCAAAAGTCTGTTAATTATTATCTAATTTCTGTAGTTATTAGATTACTGAAAAGTCATTAATTAAAACAGATACATCTGATGTGAGTAATTTGATTTCTTTCTCATTATCCATACCTACATCTAGCATAAAAGGCAAATTAATGTGGCAATAGCATTTACTAAAATTAATGATAAAATATTTAAGACTGAAATCATTATTTCAATACAACCGTTACTCTTAAAACCCACTAACTGACAAATGTTACAAGGAATTTTTGAAAATCAGATTTCTTTTAGCCCACAATCTAATTACTGAGTTATCTGATTACGCTAGTTATCTGATTTTGCTGGTCATTTCAACAGACCCTGTACTTCTTTACCTGGCTGTGCAGTATGGAGTTGAGGAAGCCTGCTTTGTGGATCTGTTTGCAGGAGGAGAGAAGCGTCTCCATCTGATCCTGGTGTTTCAGAGCCTCTGAATCATAGAAGTCCACAGCACACAGATCTTCCACACTGAAGAGGTACATTCACAAGAAGGAAAGTTTTGTGAAAATAAGCCTAAAACAATTTAAATGTCCAATTTATGCTCTTTTATGCTTTTTTATGAAAACAAAGGTATGGGAATTGCATTCACACTTGCACCAGCGACATATAACACCACACCGCAACACTGCATTTCTAATATTTGCATCATATTTGCTTTACTTCCAACTTAACTATGGCTTGGTTTGGTACCATACAGTAAGATTACCTTTTCCGTGATATTTTGGCCCGTAAGCTGCTCTCCACTCTGCTCTGGTACGGAGAGGCCACAAGGGCTTTGAGCAGAGGCACACACACTTCAGGCAGGTTATTCATCACCTCCACATCGGCCATGTTGAATCCAACTGAAGACGGTTCACACACGACCAGCGCCAACAGCTCAAAGAAAACAGGGCTGAAAAAATCCTGTTCAAGACCCTGAGGACAGAAAGATGATCATAAAACTAAAATTCTGCCCTAAATACATCCATTAAAAAAGTAAAAGACATTAGAAAGCTGTATTACTATATTTTATGTTTAAATTTTAAGTTTGTATGTTTCATTTTTAGTTAATAAATAAATGTTCTCCCACTGTTACTTTGTGAATTTTCAAAGACATGCATGTTTTGATGAATTGGTGACTCTAAATAATCTAATCAATACAATTTAAAGTTTGTCCAGTGTACCATGCCTAAGATTAATAGTTGCTGTGACAGGAAAACTATGCATTACCTTCCAAAACTCCTGATCTCCTTCGACCAGAATCATGGCGGAAAACTCCAGCAGTCGAACGATGATGGTGCATTTGCTGTAGTTGTACTGATCGACCTCTCGGGGGCTGAAGTGAGATGTCTTTTCACTGATTTGGAAACAGCTCTCGGCGGCTGCCAGATCTCGGGTTGCCAGTTCAGACAGAAAAAACCCAACAGCCTTCAGGAAAACTGACTTGTCTTTGGCAGCTGTAACAAACAAGATGAAAAAGATACCAGTCTATTTTAATTGTAATGAATACTACAGTTAAAGGCACTGTATCTGATTTTTACTGTGTTAAAAAACCTGAAAAACAGAACTAGTTCATTGAAACATTTTTAATGCTTTCTGAGCATCGTAAGTATTCACTGCCACGAGTGTATAAGTGCTTCTCGATAGTACGCTCACACACACTTCCTGATGATCAGAAAATAAAATGCTTTGTAATTAAATGTAGACAGCATACAGTGGTCAAGAGGTGGTTATATGTTATATGCAAATGTTGTAGATTTGTATTCAATAAATTACATTAAACGGCATAGAATACTGCTCATCTATTTTATTTTATTTGATTTTATAATAATTAAAATTTTGCTTTTATTTTGCACTGATTCTTTCCCCACAATGTCAAACTAGAGGAATAAAAACAAATATATGCTTTATCTCACTGGACTCTTCAAGTACATTTTGTGACTAGCATTTATTATGTAAAAAGTACAACAAGTCTAAACTTACCAAGCATATGATGAGGCCTGATGATGTGCAGGTTAATAAAGGTGTTGTAACAGTCGAGAGCGGCCAACAGGAGGTCGCTCCACTGCAGAGCCGCCCTCACGCTGAAGGGGGCGCTCAGGTCTCGGAGGGTGGGCTGAGACAGAAGGCCCCCACCTTCAAAATGTGAAACTAAAAACTCTGCTCCATGCTGCTTTAGCATACCGTCCAACCACTGAGGAGCAGACTTCTTCTCTAAATATGAACAAAATACATTATACATTTATTTTATTATAATTGGCAGAATGGACGGCATAATCTCTATAATTTAGAAACTACTTTGGCACGTTTTACACTAGGTAATAGACAGTTTGTAGCTTTGTTCTTGCACAAATATTTAAATTGCGTGCGACTGAAAATCTTCAAAGTTCTTTTAATTTCTTACGAGAATTAGCAGTGACATAAAAAAAAAAAAAAAGAATGTGTTCAAAATTGCACTATCACCACCTCAAAATAGGGACTAAACTGGGACTAAACGCAGACCTAAACCTAGACAAGACCAGGATTAAGCCAGGACTAGAATGGGACTGAACCAAGTCTACATCAGGACTAAACTGAAATTAAACCAGGACAAAATAAAAGAGTGAATGCACCTTTAGACACAATAAAAAAATGCATTCAATGTGTTTATAATACAGTATTGGGCAGCCCCATTGTACATTGCATTTCATTTTCATACAAACCTGGAAGAAGAGGAATAAACTTATAAAAGAGCTCCATGCATTTGTGTCTGCATTCAGTCTGAGGTCGACCACATTGTTCAAGGAGCCACAGAATAACATGAGACAAACACAACTTCTCATCAGGAGGGAAGCCCCTGAAAGGAAATTACAGAACTGATAAAGTAAATACAATTCTGACAGCAATATGCATATAAGGAAATTAATGCCACAGTATAAAATTACAGCTCTGAGATTATTGTAAGAATAAAAATTTTCGTAATTATTGTTCCCAAAATAACCAAATCCTCAATTTCCTTTTTATTCCCAATATAGTATGTACATTATCAATTCTGAAGTATGAGAACAGCTTTTTGAAATCATGCTTTTTGAATGAAAATTAAAGTTAATGTGACCTAAGCAGACATATAAAACTTAAATGTGTAAAATGTTTATTTTTCCAGTATAAATGGAACAGAAATGACTTATTCTTGCCTCTAAAATGTCACAATTATTATTATTATAAAGGTGCACCATGTAACTTTTTGGTAAGGGGTCCATCACCTACTTGTTTCTATGAATATGTCATTGTTCTGCCTGGAATGTTCCACAGTATGACATTAAACAGCTCTACCTAACATTGATTTAATTACAAGGTGGTTTTATTGCTCAAAAATATCAAGAAAAACAGGCATTATGACTGTGAGCGGGGTCGCCTCTCCACACAGATGACCTGTAACTTGATCTGGTCTCTATGAAGGAAGAGAGGTTTAATGCCATAGAATGTAACATTCCAGACAAAGCAATAACATCTCTATGAAGAAAAGCATTTGACAGACCCTCCACCGGAAAGGTTACATCTTTTTCATCCTTTCTGGTATATAATGACTCAATAATCACAAAAACTGATTACCTAAATTATCTTGACATTCCTAATGCACGTGAACCATTTGTTTTATAATTTTATGAATGATCTTTTACAGTTCTAGTAATATATTGCAGTTTTAATTTTCTGTGCAAAAATGTATGCAAGTTTTACAGATAGGAAAAGTGCAAACCTTGGGATACGTCTCTTTGTATTGTGCTGGTTGAGATTTGGTGCCTTATGTATAATGACTCTTTTCAAATGCTCTATGGCGCTGCAGCATTGTTGTATAGTTCCTGAATAGACAGAAGAACAGGCTTTTAATACAACATGCTAAGGGTCCATATTATGATCTATGTTATAATATTGTTTTCTCATCACAAACATACCTGGAGCTGTGTTTTGTTTCATTCACACATGTTTAAACACACAAATCCTGCATGTTTAGGGTTAGAGTGAGATCACATGGTGGAACTGAGCATTCTGAGCTTTGGAGATGTAGACAGACTAATAATAAAATGATTACTCAAACATGTGTGAATGAAACAAAACACAACTCCAGGTATGTTTTTGATGAGGTAGGAGCATCATAATGTGGTGTAGAGCTCACAAGAATAAATTTTGTGTAATATAGGCAGTGTTGTGCAAGTTCACACTTTTCATGAACTAGTTCAAAGTTCAGTTCACACTTGTTCAAAGTGTTCATAGTTCACAATTTTAATTTTGAACTAGTTCAAAGTTCAGTTCAACTTGTTCAAAGTGTTCATAGTTCACAATTTTAATTTTGAACTAGTTCAAAGTTCAGTTCATTTTATATTTAGACGAGATCTGTAAATGAAAGGCTGCTTTTATTTTTCAAACTGACTTCTAGTTTACAACAACTTTACAAGATACACTGTTGGACAAGTGACTTTAAAACTAATGTGTTATTTATGACTTGTTACTGTTATTTCAAAGTCATTTGTTACATTACAATATTACTGTATTTAAAATGTAAAACATTACACGACTATTGCAGCACTTTTAATTTACTCTCACCAAAAGAACTGTTAAGATGCTGAACTTTTGCGCCGTATATGGACTAAACCAGAACTAAACCAGGTCTAAACCAGGTCTAAACCAGGACTGAACCAGAACTGAACCAGGTCCAAACCAGGACTAAACCAGGTCTATACCAGAACTGAGCCAGGACTAAACCAGAGCTGAACCAGGTCTAAACCAGGACTAAACCAGGTCTAAATCAGGATTGAACCAGGTCTAAACCAGAACTGAACCAGGACTAAACCAGAACTGAACCAGGACTGAACCAGGACTGAACCAGGACTGAACCAGGTCTAAACCAGGAATAAACCGAAACCAGGACTGAACCAGAATTGAACCAGGTCTAAACCAGGACTGAACCAGGACTGAACCAGGACTAAACCAGGACTAAACCAGGTCTAAACCAGGACTAAACCAGAACTGAACCAGGTCTAAACCAGGTCTATACCAGAACTGAACCAGGTCTAAACCAGGACTAAACCAGGTCTAAACCAGGAATAAACCAAGACTAAACCAGGACTGAATCAGAATTAAACCAGGACTAAACCAGGTCTAAACCAAGAATAAACCAGGACTAAACCAGGACTAAACCAGGACCAAACCAGGACCAAACCAGGACTAGAACTTGGAATCTAGGACCGCCCCTGAGAGAACCCCGAGTGCGATCGGGCGTCAGCTGCGTTTATCTCGGTGGAGCGCGGACTTCTGCGTCGGTTCTTTCACTCAGGATCACGGTCTACACGGGCACACCTCCAGCGTTTCACCGCTGCTGATATCGCGGTGATTTTAGCAAATGTTATTTGTATGAAGAAAAACGAAAAACCCACCATTTCAATCCAGGTTAAAAAAGCATTGTGACGCGCGTTACTGACATATGTACGTCCTGTGCGTGTAGATTTCAGAAAATAGGATCCATCCTATTTTTTGACGCTCTACACGACCGTAGGCGCGTATCCCCGTCAAAATACACAGAGAGCATGTATCTATTGTTGTATTTGTGCATTTACCATCAGCACATTGTGCTCCCTGGGCAGTTCTGTATCATGTGAAAGAGCCCAGATCCACATAGACTGTTAATTAGTGCTTTGAAATTTACTTTTGAAATCCTTGCGTTTGCCGTGGTCAGCCTGTACAGAAGATATATACAAGCAGCTAAGCGCGCCCAGTCAAGTTTGATTGACTTTCCCATTGAGAGACACAAGAGCCCGTACGTTCAGCTAAAGCTGCCGGTGGAGTCGGCTTCGCGTTGACACGCGGCTGTGGTTTCGTTAAGTGCAAGCAGATCGTCACTCGTCAGGTGAAAACAAATTCCGACGTTTAACTGAACCCCAACAGTGACGTACGTCGTTCATCACACATTATTTGAACAAATTCACGTTCAAGTTCTTGATTTACAAAAGTGTTGCGTTCAGTTCAAAGTTCACTGAAAAATGAACGTGTTCAATGAACGCGTTCTTTTGAACTCGTTCATGCACAACACTGAATATAGGACCTTTAAACAGAAAAAATTATTACCCAGAGAGCGTTCATCTGAGTGTGCAAGAGCCAAACTTTCTATAAAAACCACAAGAATTTCAAAAATAAACTGCTCCACCAATGAGTTTTCCTCTCTGTAACAAAAAGACCAAATATACATTATACTTGACATGAAAAGCAACAAGTAAAGAGTCGAGTTTCAGTAAATTCTCAAATGCAGTTGTGTTAATAACATTTTTTGGTGAAATGCTTGCATGAAATATACACGTTAAATAACATAACATATTCCTCACATTACCTGAATAGTCTGTAGATACTGTTAAAAGCCAGAGCTGCCCCAAGTCTTTTAAAGCCACTGGGATGGAGAGCCAGACTGTAAATCCTCTTGAATAAGGATTTCATGTTGGTTGGACTTTTCTCTTGTTGTTTGGGGGTCGTTTGTTTAATCGACCACTTCACAAACTCCTCAATACAACGGCCACAGAAATCTCTCAGAGTGCTGTCCATGGGGTCCACTACACCATCCTAAAAATACAGATAAGGCTGTGCTTAAATAGATAAATGGTGATACAAAATATGATTATAGAGTTTTGATACTTTTGGCTGTAGTACTGAAATATAGCCATGAGTATTTTTTGGTATTTTGTACTTCTGTTATGTTTTGTTTTGTTTTGTGACAGTGCTATAATTTTGTTGCTTCATGGTCTATAATTTTCATTGCTTCATTTCATGGTAAAATTGTACAGATAATGGTTTAATAAAGCTACTAGTATTTGTTTTTTAAAGTGTGACTACTGGGCTGCAAAACTAAGTGCAATCAAAAACACAATCTGAATGAACATAATTGGCAAACAGCAAAACCTACAATTTAAACAAATACAAGTACCATAATTTCCTCCAAAAACTACAAAATATCCTGTCTTATTCTGAACAAAAACTGCTAACTGTAGTTTAGAGCTGTCCTAAAATGTATTTTTGAGTTCCTATGAGTCTTTTTGTCAATATTCCAGGATGTGTTTAAAATGTGAACATTGAACAGAATCAAATTATATAAGCAAACCACAAATTTAATAGCAGTGCAATTAGATATTTTTCTAAATCATTCAGCGTTATGTGATGACATGTTGCATACATTTCATTATATTTACCAAAATGGCTTCCAGAACAGCAACTGTGTCTTGACTCTCAAATTTCTTGTTGTTCGTAAACCAGTGAATGAGCTGCATCACTAGAGGTTCAAAAAGTTGTCTGGTAACCTAAACAGAAACACAATTTGACAATGGATTTTAAAATTACTGCACTTTTTTGCAGTTTAAAGGATCCATATTATGCTATTTTCTATGTTCCCTATGTTATAATGTTGTTTTGTTTCATTCAGACATTATTCAACACACAAACTCTGCATATTTAAGCTGTTTTCTTCTCCCAAGCAGAAAACAGAGATCCACCTTGTGATGTCATGTGGTAATACAGGAAGTGCTCGATTGTGTTTTTAAACTCCATATGCCTTCACTAGAATCATTTGGATAATTTCAGCACTGGAACTGCCAATATCTACTAAACAAATGGTAAAAGGCAGCTGTTAACTTCACAACTACCACTACATGACATCACAAAGTGGAACAGAGCATTTTGAGCTTTGGAAATGTAGACAGACTAATAATAAAGAGTTACTCAAACATGTGAACAAAACAAAATGCTACTCCAGGTATGTTTTTGATGAAGTAACAACATTCTAACATGGCTTAAATCACACAAGAATCCATTTTGTGTAACATGAGACCTATAAACATAAAAAATGTAAAATAAAAATAAGTTAAACCTGGTCTACGTCACAGGCCAGACGCAGTAGCACAGGGAACAGTCTCTTGTGCAATTTGTACATGGGTGGTAGACTGTTCTCCCCTTCAGCCATTTGAGCACTTTTACCAACCATGTAGATCACCAAAGTGTGGAGCAGTTCACAAGCAGCAACCTGCAAACAATGTGAAAATAATATAAACAAGATTAAAAGGCTGTGGACATAAAAATTATAACAAAACTACTATAATAACTAATAACTACAACAAAAAGCTATGAGGCTTGACAGAACTGACAACCCCAACAACACCACTGACAGTCCTCTTTATCTACATGTTTAAGGGATATTATGATGAGTAAAAAAATGTAGTTTGTTTCATTTTAGACATTTTTACGTAATTTCGCAAACAAATTAATTACTTAAGTGGAGCAAGTCCCATTTACAGGTCACTGCATATTGTATTTTTAGATAATGTGAAAACAACTTGAAAACTACACAGTTAAAAGTGTATATTTTGAAGAACACATGAAAAAAGTTGTTGCAAAAATCAAAACCATACCTTAGTTTGTCTGTCGCTTGTGGACAGAGCCAGTTCGCTGATGCGAGGGAGAAAGGGGTCCAGGTAAATCACTGGTTTCATGTCCGAAAAAGGTACAGCAAAGTTCAGCCTCTTCTCTGAGTCCCAGGCCACAAACTTCTTCATCATCTCCTCTGAAGAAACAACTACACACCAAAAAGCATTAACTTTAATTACTAATTGATCCGTTGCAGCTCATGTCATCAACATTCCCTGGAGGGTGTGACACTAACTGTAGGTACCTCTCTGTCTGAAGCTCTGTTATGTTAAATTTGTCTTTAATCTGAGCTGAAAATATCAATCTTTTATCTAGTTTTTAACAGTGTTTGCCAATGTGTGCATTCTGTCCCCATGGTAACTGCTGAACAATCCACACCATAGGCATACATGTAGAACGCCCCTAGCGCAAATTATAAGCACAAAATAGAAAGAAATAGTGCTAATAAGTTGGGTTTTTACCAGTTACAAGGTTCCTGTTCAGTTTTCCTCCCAAGTGACCAAGCAGCTTCACCACTCTGAGCCTCACGGTGACAAGGGGAGCTTCTTCCTGCATTCAGATTGGGATTTTGTTTGAAATGAACTTGTACCAAATATTTATAATTTTGTTTAGCATGCAAATCAAGTAGTCTCACCTTACAATGAATATTAAAAGGGTCTGTACTTGATTTTGAATTAACTGTTATATCATCCACTTCAGAAAGTCAAAAGTCAGTTTTTGTCATTCTGATGCTGAATCATGAAACAATTTAAATTGATGATTGTCACAGGTAATTGTTTCAATGTGGGTCTCAACAAGCAAATTTTCTCAGTGGATAAAATTGTCCATCCTTGGAGGTGACTTCCTTAAGGTTTTCACTCATCACACTAAATACCACCTAAGAATATTTGGCCTTTGTACCACCAGTCTATAACAGAACTATTCAAGGTCTAAATTAGATCTAAAATTTAGGATCTCTATACTAGTTCTAAACATGAACTAAATGAGGACAAAAATAGGGATACAACTCATTAAATTCAGCAAATAAAAAAACTGCAGGTAAATCCACGTACCAACTGAAGGAGCTCCTCACTGGTATAGACAATTTATTTCAGTATAGTTTTTTCCACAAATAGCTGATTCTACAACACAGTAAAAGACGCTCTCCTGAACTAGAAGAAATAAAAGTTGTTTTTGTTTTTTACCACGGTGAGTTGCTTGGATTGTTTGAGCAGTCTGGTCATAACTCTGCTGTATCCTTTGTCATTTCTTGTAGATACAGAAGACATCACCTCCCAGCTGCTGTCATCTTTGTCTATGAATACATAAATTACATGTTTTAGGGTTAGTCTTTAAGGGTTACATGTTTCAGTTCAATAATTTCAAGGTGCATTATGTAACTTTTTAGTGGAGGGTCCGTCAGATGCTTTTTTGCATGGAGATGTTATTGATTTCTCAGGAATGTTTCACAGTATGATATTAAACATTTCTATCTTCATGGAGAGCAAAACAGACCAAGTTACACGTCAGATCTGTGGAGAGGCGACCCTGCTCACAGTCAGAAAGCCTGTTTTTCTAGGTACATTTGGGCAACAAAACCACCTGCTGTAATTTAATAAATGAAAGCCAGAGCTGCTTGATGTCATATTGTGGAACATTTTAAGCAGAGAAATGAAATATCCACAGAAACAAGAATTGAAAAGTTACACAGCGCATCTTAAAGCCTTATTTTGTGAGATAATTGACTTCACGTACTGTCATTGGAAGTGGTTTTGAGGTATCCATCCAAAAGAGGGAGAATAGTTGTATAACACGGCTGCATTGTCTCCAGTGGAATATAACTGGACCAATCCTCAAGAGCATCGAGGGCAGTGTTAGCCAAAGGAACGTGGCTTAGACCAAGCTTCAGAGCTGCCTAAAATGTATAGATATTTATACAGATTAATTTGTTGGTATATTTGATTATACAGAGCAAATTCAAAACTGTAAAAAAAAAATGACAGTGCCGTAGAATAAAATAAATAGTTGGTGAGTCAGTGTTGACATAAAATGAGTAGTTGCTGATTCAGAGTTAACGTCAAACACTTAGAAAGTGTGTATTTTGAATATTAGACTACATCAATGTTGGACTTTTGTAACGTTTCCAGCGGGAGAGCTACGAGAGATGCCACATTTCACAGTGCGAAGCTAACAGCGCAAAGTTAACAGCTAATAGTGTTTGTAGGGACTGGAGAGGCTCTCAGTGGCTACACTGCACCTGACTCTCTGAGGGAAGCTGTCGGATTTCCTGGTGTTTCTACAGGCTCTACATCACGGGCAGCGGGGACGCTACATACGCTCCATAGCCTGGAGTGGACTGGGCACCAGAGGAGGTGGAATCGTCTCTAAGCAAAGACTAAACCCGCATTTGACCAGGTCTATCCGACACCCGCGTACGCCTAAACCAGGTGATTCCTGCTCTGCCTGAGCTCAGTCTCGAGGGGACGGCAAATAGCGGGTCCATGATCTCACGCTGTATTCACATTTCTTTTAATAATAGCTTATAAACGTGCACACGCTTGTGTGGTGTGTTGAGGTAGGATATTGTATTACTATTGAATAGTGTAACATGAACACTCTACATTATTTCTACTTCATAAAGTGTTAAAACATGGCAATATAGAGTAATTAGGTAATTAGTTTTTCACTATACACTAGTGTAAAACACTTTACCAGTGTTGAGCCTTCTACACTTTGGAAAGTGTAGTTTTGCCATGTCATATGGGGTCCACAATAAAATGAGTTAAAAGTGTTAAAATTAACAATATACGAGTTGAATTAACACTCTTGAATTTGCTGTGTATAGTTAACAAAAAGACAGTTAAAATGTCAACACACTGTACTGCATAACAGGACTATAACAATAATTTAATAATAAAAATACATACAAGAGGTTGAGTTTATAGCTTGAGGTCACATAATTAATATATAATAATTTCCTCTCATCATTAACTCACTTTAAAGTTGTATGTTGACTAATTATTGCATGTTTGAGTAATCTTTATTCTCTTGGACTGGAGGAAGCATTGTTCTGAAAATGCCTTGACTTATTTCACTCCTTAATTTATGGTGTAGCTATTAGCAGGTGAAAATCAGTGTTGCTATTTTTATTTAAGGCAGTCAGTGGATCTGTTTCTATAATTAAGTCATTTTATATCAATATTGCAGTCTGAAATTAGCAAAGTGAAAATTAAGAATCTCTGTGTTGTATTAGATTATAACTACATGCCAGAGAAAAGCCTTAGATGGTTTGGACAAAGGATGGACTGTGGAAAAAAGGCCTTTGGTAGGTTAATTTGGTGGTTAATTTCTCAGTGACAATAACTTGGCAATTTAATAATAAAAGTAATAAAAACATCACCTCTAGAGCAGGGGTGTAGGCCTTGATATCCAGAGCTATAATGTTGTGATGCAGCGACAGAACAAAAGTCAAACAGGAAGCCAGGAGTTCATCTTTGTACTGCTTCATTTTCACACAAACCTAGTAGAAAGGAATTTAAAGTTTGTTGTAAAATATTCGCTTTTTACAAATAATGTTTTTAAATTCAATGTTTTTATAAATTACCTCTTTCCCAAACTTTGCAAAAAGGGCAAAACAGGCATTTTTAACAGTGTCAATTTTGGTAGAATCAGAGCTTTTTAGTCCAACTCCCTGCAAAAATGTTAAATGTATCAAATATGATGTAATTAGTTTAAAAGTGCACTATGTAACTTTCTCGTTGTGAGGCTATCACCTGCTTGTTTCTATGGAGATGTCATTGCTCTGCCTGGAGTGTTTCACAGTATGACATTAAACAGATCTACTTTACATTTATTCAATTACAGGTGGTTTTATTGCTCAAAAATACCAAGAAAAACAGGTATTCTGACTGTGAGCAGGGTTGCCTCTCCACAGAACTGACTTGTAACCCCGTTTGTGGTTTCCATGATGACAGAAAAAAAAGGTTTAATTCTATACTGTGAAACATTCCAGACAACACAATAACATCTCCATGAAAAAAAGCATTTTACAGACCACCACCAGAAAAGTTACACAATGCACCTTTATATTTACAACATTTTACCTGATAATATTTGATTCTTTTTCCGATTTTCATTGTGACAGACAGGAGTTTATAGAAGCCACTGACAAGAGGGTTTCTTATGGAGTGAAGGATGAGTTCATGGCTTAAAGGATACATCCAAGATTCAAAATACTCCAAGTGTTGACTCAGCAACAACTCACTGCAAAGAAAATCTTATTAGTATAAATTTGTAACTTGGGTTTGATTATAAATATATTAGGGCTTTTATTGATATTAACCTGCAGAAATCCACCAGGTTGATAAACGCAGTGAAATCTTTGACTTTATTCGGTAACAGATGAGCAGTTGGATCAGATGAGGGCAGAGCATGGGACACATCATCAGAGCCCTGACAAATAGAAGGAACATTAAAGGTCATATAGTACACAAAATTGACTCTTGTGAGCTTTTAGTCATGTTGTTATAATGTTGTTGCCTCATCAAAAATATGTCTGGAGTTGTGTTTTGTTTCATTCACACATGCTTGAGTGAGTCTGTCTACATCTCCAAAACTCAAAATCCTCTGTAGTGTCATGAACCCATAGTTTTCAAGTTAAAAGCTACTTTTTAGTTTTAGTTCAGTAGAGCTCCGCATTTCCAAGACTGAAATTATCCAGATGATTCTAGCTTAAGTGTATGAAGTTTAAAAACACAGTGGAGCACTTCCTGTATTACCACGTGAAATCACAAAGTGGAACATTTTCTGTTTGAGAGAAGAACTAAAGCCTAAATATGCAGGGTTTGTGCATTAAACATGCAAGGATGAAACAAAACACAACTCCAGGTATGTTTTTGATGAAGAAACAACATTATAACACAGATTATAACATAGTATTAATATGAGCAATATTATAACAATATGGTCATTTTTTTGGGAAAAATATAATTCAGCTATACTAATATAAAATATACCTCTTCTCCAGGAGTGACTTTTTGAACAGACAGGTCCAGCTTCTCCACAATACGAAGAATGGATTTCACCAGTTCATCATAAATCAGATGACTTAAAGATCTAAGAGCAGCATTTTGGCTTTCGAAAGCACCATCCAAGTATCCAGTATCCTTTGAAAGTAAAATAATCATTAGTTAATAGAAGCCAGGTTCAATAAATATATTAACTAAATAAAAAAGACCTATGGATGTCCTGATATTGTACCTTTAACTGATCACAGTCCAAAAGACTTTTGTACAGGGCGAGGTAATTCTGACTTGAAGGAACTTTCCAATTTCCAGTTCGCATTTGAGCTTCTGGGCCAGTGTCTGCATCTTTGTCCTAAAATATGAGTAATATATTTATTCAGTGTTGCACTATGTAACTTTTCTGCTGCTTGTCTCCACGGAGAAGTTAAAACACACAATGCCAAGTTAAGGATGAGATCTTGCTCCACTGAGGAACATTCATGGCAAAGCAATAACATCTCCCTAGAGACAAGCACAAGCAACCACCAAAATGTTACAAAGTCACTTTTAATACTGGTTACACTTCTTTCATTATAGCATTAAATTTCTCCCAAATTACCTCAGTCGTAAGAGGCTTGGAACAGACTCGGATCAAACCCTGGTGAACTGAAAATAAGTTTTAATTTGTGTTTTGTTTCAGTTGGATAAAAAATATATATTAAAGTCTAAAATAAATGGCTTTTAACTCACCCACAGAGCTAATGAAACTCCATAGCACTGGTCCTTTGGAAGCCATGGCAACCAGCACTTTGAGAATCGCCCGGCAACAAGTTATCTGCATCCGCTCACTGTACTGAGGGAAGCTGTCAATTTGCACCACAAGGAGGCGCTCTAGTAGAGGAGTGTACACCTCAGGGATCTGAAAGTATAATGATTTTAGTTGCACAATAGCTGTAATTTAAGTAGTTGTTATAGTCTATAATACAAAGTCAACACAGTCTTAATGAAAAAAGACAGATAGAAAATGTCCATCACTTGAACAAAATTTGACCAAAAATAAAATTAAAGTGTAGCAACTGAGAATTTGTATTAGTGACAACATCCATAATCTCACCATGTTTAACACTATATCTATTTAAAAACGCACAACAAAAAATATTAACATTATTTAGGCTCTAAATATGAACGCAACAGATCTATAGACTATAATTTGAAGCCCAGTAACAGGTTTAACTATTGAGGTATAAATTAATGCTGTGGTCCTGGTTTTCTGTATTTCTTTAACTTTATTAAATTTCAAAAGATCCTGGTTTAGTTCTGATGTAGACTTAGTTTGGTCGAGTTGTAGTCCTGGTCTAGTCAGAGTTTAGATCCAGGTTTAGTTACAGTTTAGTCCTATTTTAATATGATGTGTGAATGTGAAAGTGGCCATGTTCAGACGATTTCAGTTAAAAAATATATAGTAGTTTAGTGGAAAAGCCATTATCTAGTATATAAAAAGTAGAAAATGCGTGTGAACGTGAAAGTTACCTTGTCCAGATGTATGATAACACTGGCGATGGAGTCGAGGAAGCTGGGCAGCTGGTAGAAAGAGTCGTCTTCTCCGTCGGACTCTGTGAGGTACATCTGTTTACAGCGCTGGATCAGCTCTGTGTACATGAGGTCCACGTCCTGGGGGCACACCTTCTTACATGGCTGCAGTAAAGTTAAAGAGAAGCATATGTCGCCATTTTATTTTACACTTCAGAATATTAAGGACAAAAAATTCATCTTTTTGCATGCATATCATTAAATGTAAGAGTTAAGCCTATGTTCCTGACAATCATCATATCATCTGTTTCTTTACAGCTTCCTGCATATAAGTGTGATGTACTGTATTTATATTTTACAACATTTGTTTTTTTTTTACTTACTGTACATACTTTTACATAATTTATGTCTTATTTGACACCAGTGAATTGCTATTTTTTATTGCTACTTATTTAGAAGTTTATTACCATTTTTATATTGAGGTGGGAAACAATTATTAAAGAAATGTTTAATGTTTTGATCTGTGAAAGGAGCAGGGTTTATAAGATTTATCTTCTTTCTGTTCCTTTTGTTCATGCTGCAAAGGCAAGGCAAATAATGGCAGAAATATGTATTTATGTTAATTGTCAGTTTTGATGTTGTTGTCTTTAAATTGATGCCAACAAAATAATAGCATGAGTAATAAATAAATATATTGTGATGTGTGCGTCCAAGTAATTTCTCTTGTGGATCAATAAAGTTTGTCTAAGTGTCTAAGGCTAAATGCATAGAAGTAACAGTCCAAACAAAACATACATCTTATTTCAAACTGGGTTTTTGTGTTTTAAAGGTGCACTGTGTAATTTTTCTGGTATTAGTCCAGCACCTAGAAAGTGGACACTGCATTTCCTTGGAATGTACCACAGCATACCATTAAACTTACTTATTATTTAATTATAGATGTTTTTACAATAAAATAATACTTTCAAAAATATGCATTCTACTGTCTATGTGTTCTACTGCCACCTCTCAACAAATCTGACCTGTAAATTGACATGGTGCTTGTCTTCATGGACATAGACAAGTTTAATATTTTACAATGAAAAAATCCAGGCAAAGAAACAACATCTCCATGGTGACAGACCCTCCACCCAGAAAGTTACACAGTGCACCTTTAACATGCAATAATTATTAAAAATGCTTACAGCTGCAAATAATCCATATCCTCGAATGGCGATGGACAACTCTTTATGTGTAGAGTCCATAGTTTTAATGATGCCACAAAACCTCTGCATGAAGAACTTCAGTTTGCCTTTATGCTCCTCAATATTATCAGCCACCAACATGGCAACCTAGGAAAGATAATTCACAAGTGATTACAATTAAAAGGGCCCCTATTATGGTATTTTCTGATCTGTTGTCATGCTGTTTCCTCATCAAAAACAAGCCTGGAGCTGTGTTTTGTTACATTCACACCTGTTTAATACAAACACCTGTATTTAGGTTCTTAGAGTTCTTCTCTCAAACAGAAAACACTCTGTTCCACCTTGTCATGTAATGTGGTAACACAGGAAGTGCGTCAGTGTGCTTTTAATTTCCATGCACCTTCACTAGAATCATTTGGATGATTTCAGTCCTGGAATTTTAGCTCTCTACTCAGCAAAAATTAAAAGGTCGCTGTTGAGTTGAAGTACCGCTTCATGACATCTCCAGGTGGAACAGAGCTTTTTGAGGTTTGGAGATAAAGACAGACTAATAATAAAGAATTTCTCAAACATGGGTGAATGAAGCAAACCACAACTCCAGGTATGTTTTTGAAGAGGTAAAAGGATTATAATATGACTAAAAGCTCAGTCAATTTGGTGTAATATAAGAGCTTAAAGTATTTTTGGGCCATTATTTAAAAATTATTATTATTTTACCTGTTTGAGAAAGGCTTCCAGTGCGTAGTAGCTGGTCTTCTTCATCTCTGGATTTATGTGACCACAGAGTTTGGACATCACCTCAAATATGGTTTTATAATGGTCCATTAAACAGGTACTGAACTGAGGTGCGTGTTTCCCAAACAGTCGCAATCCAGCTATTAATCACACAATGAAATATGAGGGGAATGAGGAGACTTATTCACTACTACTTTGTACTAATGAAATGTACTACTATAAATATGCACTACTATTACTTACTACAACTTGTATGTTTGTTTGTGAGGGAGAAAATTGTTGTGCACTGTTGTGAAGTGCTTTGAATGACTTTACAGAAGCTACTATTACTACTATCTCTTTGTCAATTAATGACTTACCGAATGTGACAGCATATCGGGTCATTTCCATCTATACCACATGAGAACAAAGCACAAAATCAAAAGAAAAAAAAACAAATGTATTAATTAATATGTTTATAGAATGGTCATGACTACTTGAGTAAATCTTATTTACCTGGGGGCTGATTGCTTTCAAGGCATACTGAAAGATTTCTTTGGATGTTGCTGGGTCTGTAAAGTAGAAATAAATCTCATACAAATCTAACCAGTTTTCCTCATTATTTTAGAATAAATTCCCCCTACAACAGGCATTTGTAATAGACATTTGAGTGGCCAAACCTCCTTGTCAAAGCCTGATCTGTCAGATCTCAGAAGCTAAGCAGGGCTGGGCCCAGGTAGCACTTGGATTGTAGACTAGCCCCACAAAGTAATATTCCCCACTAACATAATAAAACTCAAACTCACTTCTTTCTGAGTGAAGCTCTGCACTAAGAACACTTTTGTTCTGTGTTGAAAAACAAAGTAGGGCTTTGTTCAATTTCACTGTTAAATTATCAACTAATGTTTTTTAGCATTTATATTTTTCATTAAGCAAATGAGAGAGTAAGATATTTAAAGTGAGGATAATTACATTTGTGGGGTGAACAGAGACCGTTGGGAATTCCAGGTGCCACAGTGGGCCGCCATTGGTAAAAACTGTCGGGTCCCTAGTATGAACCTAGTGTGTGTTGGCAGACTGGCAGCCTCGCTACCGTCAGTCTGTCAGGGCAGCTGTGGCTATACCTTACCACCACCAAGTGTGAAGTGAATAAATAATGCACAAAATGGTAAAGCCACTTATCTGATTTCTCAACCTTTAAGATTGCTTAAATGACATGCAAACAACAAACTCTGATGCGAGTTATCAGAGGGACTATGATCAGAAAGAAATCTGTTTACATGATAATTTAAGTCTTGTAACTCTAAATGACTGCAGCCACTGATGACTAAAAGTTAAAACATGTATGTACCACAAACCTTCATCCATTGTCTTGGTAAAATTGACCATTAAAGCAGTTAATCCTCTCAAACATCCAGCAACAACAAAAAGTTTGGGTTCTCTTGTTGAGGAGGTCATCTGAAACAAGGCATTTTATCATTATTTATACACTATATTCATATCTACACATATTTAACATTATCTTACACACCTGTTCTTTGAGCTCTCCCAGATAAGCCTTGTACAGCTTGTCCGAATTGTTCACCATTTCATTTGGGTGGACCTCCGCAAGAACCCCCAGTAACTCATATATTTTACCAAGCACTGTAAGCACACAAAAACACAAAATAAATTTATCTTAAGAAATGCCTTACATATGGGAGAAGAATAAAATTTGTACCGGAGTCTGGGAGTTTGTTTTTCTGACATAACTCGCTGTAAAATCTGTTGAAAATCTCGGGGACTCTGAAGTCAGCAGCAACAGTGGAAGCTTTTGTGCTTTGAAGGAGCTGTGAATGTGAAAAATAACTGATGTCTATAGTATGACAAAAACAATACAATTATGATAGTTGTATTTTGATTGAACATGGATACAGTAAAAGGTGGACAACTGAAAATATACATCACATAAGTATATCACAGTTTTTTGACAATAAGTTTGGTTCAGTGTGTTCAGCGATGTAATAATTTGATAATAATGTTAATATAGTAGTTTTGTTCATACCATAACAAAATAATATAGAAGCAGATGTCTTAAAAGGTTTTCGATGGTTATAATAGCTCGGGATCAAATGTCTAAAACCAACCATTAATGTTAAAATCTGCCATTTTTCTGACCGCAGTGTAAAATGTCCATTGAAATGCATTAGTCACAATATTGTTAAAAAGTAAATAAAAGAGTTGGAGACAAACCCATTAAGCTGCCAGGTTACTGCTTTGTAAAATAAACTATTTTGGGAAAATAAAAATATCAGAGAAAACCAAACCTTGATAAGCAGCTCTAGCACTGGAGCCCTGCATTTGGCCACTTTATCTTTTGTGTACACCACCATGCAAGTGTCCTGTGCATGGGCAGATAAAGAATATTAAGCAAACTGATTTCTTTGCAATAGTGGAATTTATCAAGACAACTCACTCTGATGTCTGTTGCATAAGTCTTCTCCCAGCCACGCACTCTTGGAGAAAGTTTGTCCAAAAACTTGTCCAAGAAACCCAAAATGTCCACCCGAGCATCACGAAGCTACAAAAATCATAACAATAAATTTACAAAAATGCTTGCTTGCATACTAGGCACTGCATTTTCTCGTATTTGCACTATTTTTATGTATGTTTTTATATTTTACCTCATCAGATCCCAAGGTTTTTTTGAGAAAGCAAAGTAGTCCAAAATCTTTTGAGAACAGCAATGAGGTCTGCAAAGCTTTAAAAATCAATAAACAAAAAAAATGTTAGTGTGAATAAATATTAAAAGTTAATAATAGCTAAGTAAAGTATAATCTGCTTAAGTTAATAATAATTTTGGTGAGGTATGTTTACAGTAATGAAAAACTTTTGAAATGAGTCCTGAACATGAATACACAAACTGGAGACTAAAATACACAGAGTTTTGGTTACAGTTATGACAAAAAATATGGGCAATTCCGCCTACAACTGTACAATATGTTCTTGAAGGCAACTGTAAACACCTGCGTTTATAGCACCACGTGGTTGTTGCGGTGCGCCTGTGCGTAACCGCCCACTCCAGCCATGGATGAACTTTGGCGGATGAAATCATTTGAATAAACAATGCAAACTGCTCGTATGGTTTGCACCATAAAAGTATGTGAAAAGCGTTTAATCCTACATATAAACCATCAAACAAGTCATAACAATGATGAAAACAATTTAACTAGAGATGAGATTTGGTGCGTGTATAGGACAAGACCACATTTGGCTGATTTTACGCAGCAGATTTTGACTTTCTTACCGAGCTCATTGTCGGACGGGGTGAGCATGCATTCTTGTCCCAGGTCTCCAACAATATCGTGGCATCTGAGAGCTGCACCCCGTTTATCTTCATCTGAAAGTGACTCATGAAGTTTGAGGAGAAGTCCCTGTATCCCACCCGCGGTGGAGCTGGGAGCAGAAGACATGAGTGCGCGGGTTTAGACCAGATTTAGGGCAAAACGGTGCATTGTTTTTGCAGAAAGGATTGAAAGATGGGAAAATGTATGAGACTCGCCGCCACAGTTCCAAAATCTGCACAACACTCACACATCAGGAAGAGTACAGGAAGTGCCATGTGATTTTCAAAGTAAAAGCATCTTGTTGCTTTGAGCTGAACTAGGCGTAAATGAGACAAATATTACCATGCCATTTACTATTTTAATTCACTTTATTCACAAAGTTTTACATCTTTTACACAACACAAAGCAATTAATAGACAAAGGCAATCACAATCAAAGTCACAACTATTAAAAACGGAGAAAAGAATAAGAAAATAAATAAGACACAAGTTACTCAAGTTAATTAACAACAAGAAATCTAAATCTCGTTTGTTAAAAGCTAATGAAAAGGCATGTTTTTAGGAGTAATTTAAAAGTAGATAGCGATTCAGCCTGTTCTCTAATGGCACATTTTTTCACTCCAAAAGAAAACCACGGTTCCCACCAAAAACTGTATATATGATCCGTCCGTTTAGTTCGTTCATTTGGGTAATAAGAAAAAGTTCTAAGTGCTTCTGTAAAAATCTATTTGTTTTGGCATTAGTTTTTGTTTAAACTGACCTACAACAAAGTAGCTGAACAATTTAAATGTTTTTTAGGTGCACACTACTTCTCTTTCACCAGCAGATGTCAGCCTTGCGTAGTTTATGAACACTCCAGATTTCTCACATACCTTCAGTGATAATTTTTTTGATATCATAGAGTTTTAGCTTGAGCAAACAATTGGCAGTCTTATCTTCTGTGATAATGGCACTAGCTACTTCATTCCATTTATTGCGACTTTATCAGTTTTGTTATCAGATTGTGAGTAAGTAGGATTACTATGGTGTGACTCACGGTAATTGATGCTATTTTTAAAGGTGCACTATGCAGACTTTTTTGTGAAGGGTCCATCACCTGCGTGACTCCACTGAGATGTTATTGCTTTGCTTGGAGTGTTCCTCAGTATGGCTTTAACTCCTCTACATCTCTGGAGACAAATGACCAGCAGATGATGCCACCAGCAGTCACAGGTAATATCTGTGGTGAGGCAAGCAATTGTAAGGCAAGGCAAGCAAATATTTCAAAGCAAGCAAGCAAAAAAATAAAATAAATAAAAACATAAAAATCCCAGGGAACACAAACATCTCCCCAAAGACAAGCAGGTGGCGAACCCTACCAACAGAAAGATACATACATACCTTTAAGTCTAATTTCAGCCATAAACAATTAAAAACAAACTTTATTTTATTTATTTATTTATTTATTATTTTATCTTCTTTATGTGTTCTTTTCATCTTTCATCTTTTAATTTATCTAATGGCAAATGTCTAAAGATACACTATAATCTACTTAACCACTGAATATCATGTAGAAGAAATATAGTAAATTCTAGAGGTAGGATTCAGATAAGCTTCTTCCTACTCCTTTTTTGAACATTGAATAAAAAGTTGGTTCTGTTTCTTTTGTTTGTTTCTTTCTACATGTTCGGAGAGTATGGAGAGTATGTTCTGCCTTCATATCTAAACGTTTTTTCAAAGTTTTATTAACTAAATTAACTTAAAACTCTAAAAATAAATTAACTCTAACACTAACTCTAATCTTCTTTATGTTATACTCTGCAAGGATTTAAAAATACTACATTGTGTTGTTGAGTTTACAACAGAAACTGATCCAGAAGGGAAATTACTTGAACACAATAGCTTATGCATCATAACAGAATATACAGATACAGAAGCAAAAACCTTTTAACTTCCTTAAGAACTGATTTCTTATTAACTTTCTTAATATAAAAGCTCTAATCTGCATAACCTGCTTTGATTTTGTGAGAACTTTACACTACACCTGTTGCAGAGGGGGGTGGGGTGTTACACTAGCGCCAACCCAAACTCAGGCGCGGACCAATCAAAAGTCACAAAGTGGTCACGTGGTCAGAGGAGCTCACTCATCCAGCGCACCAGTCGGATAGTGGCGAGTTTGGGACGCGGCTTTGGGAGATAACGCACTACCGCGGACTATCCCTCGTTTTGGTGAACCGGTCTCGGGTCATACGTACTTTATTACGGATTTCTCACGGTTACGATGATAAAATACACCACGACAGGTAAGTTTGACGCGCGAGATTTTGGATTTGTAGACTGAGCTTTACGCGTGGCACTTGTTGGGGAGTTGTGGCCAAGAAGAACGCGTTGTCTGCTCCTCTTCTAACCCTGGTTACATCTAAACAAACCAGACAGTGCTTAACCATAAAGTACCGGTGTATACCAGAAGAACTGGACACATACTTGAGTACTGTTTTGATAATGTTGGCTACACGGCTTTTCCAATGTTTTCTAGCAGCTGTCTCAGTTTAAGTTTGTTTAATTAAACTCACTGAACTGCTTGCTAATCCATTACCTACTAATTAACATGTTTTATTATCTAAATCAGGCATGATGGAAAAGATTTGCTGTCAGTTAACATAAACAGTCTATTTGTCTATTTTCATTCCTATAAATTGCAGATAAATTGTATTGAAGTAGTGTAAAAGGGACTGGAAACAGACTAACTTGAACTTTGCTTTCTATTGATGCAAACTATAAGGTGATGTCTGTAGTATACTACCAGTAACTTGCTAAATAGAGTACTAACAACAATGTAATAGCTCTCTCTTCCTTCCAAACATTATTTAATTAGTAAGTCTGTTGTAGTGAATTTTTATTTCTATTGATTTATGTCATTGTGAGCACTTTACTTCATAAAACCAATATGTAGGCTATAATGTGATAAAACATCTTGTGTACTTCTCAAATGAGACATGTCTTTATACTTAAACACTATTTAATTAAGTCTGTTTTGGTCTGTCTTAGGTCTATTCATAAATGTTGTCACTGTTAACACGTTACCTCTTAAAACCTAATATGTATAATTTGATAAAACGTCTTGTGTACTTCTCAAAAGAGGGACTTGATATGCCTTTATACTTAAATTTCTTTAATAACCCTACTGAACAATAAGTCCATTCAGCTACAAGAGAAATCTGAGTCTTTTCTTCTCCTTGCAGTGTCATCCATCCCCGAAGTATTGCAGTGTTGTGTCTGAACATTGGCTTGAATACTGGAATAACTCCTCAACCGGCCTCTGGGCCACTGGACTCAGAGAAGACATGTTAGCGGCCATGCTTCGCCAGAGTTCAGGTGGTGGGTCTGGAGGTGGCAGCAGCAGCAACAGCACGAGTAGTGGAGCCAAAATTACAATGGGAATCTCCAGACTTTCCAGCTCCAGTCTTGGCTCCTCTGGCTCTGGAAATGCAGGACCATATGTATCAGGAAGAGGGAACAAGATTGGGTCAGTTGGTTCAGACAGTCCAGATGGTGCTCCTGTGTCTGACCCTCACTACATCATGCAGTTGGTTAGCGATGTGCGCAAGTTTGCAGATGTCCTTCTACAACTCAAAGAAGTGTTTAATTCTAAAGGTAAGAACTGGTATAACCTACTTCAATACTTAAACACGCAATCACAAAATACTATACTATTATCCGAGTCAGTTACATGGCCAAACCAAGGTCCATTTAGCAAAAGAAGTAATTTTGTCAGAGGCCTTTAAATGATTGCAAATTATATAAATGGTATACAGTATGTCTGAATTAGGGATGCACCTAGTATCCTGGCTGAGCCTATAAATTGATGTAATAAGACTATTTGTGGTTGTAGCTGACCTAAAGAGTTTCATTTACACAAAGTTGTTCTGCAGTTACATGAGGGATAAATAACTATGTAAACAGTATCTAAAAATTCTACCTAAATAGCTATATAACACATTTTTCATATTTTTGGTATCAGTTGATATCGGGTATTGGTAGATACTTAAAGAAAGCAGTAGTATCGAAATCGATATTGGAACTGAAAATGATGGACTGCTGCATCCCTAGTCTAAACCGTTTTAGAGTATTTACATCGTGTTTCTCAGTAACTGAAGATACTTTGGTGACCCCCTAGTCTAAAACAATCTGGACTACAGATTGGCATCACAAAATAATTATTTGTTGCTCATTGTCCTATCATAAACATTTAAAACTAACTATACAGGGCCAAAACAGGATTGGTTTATTCCTCACCAATTCTATAAAATGAAATTAAATCTAAATAATTTGCCAACACAGTCTCTCCAGAATCTATGGGAACCACTTTAGAGTAATTAAATTTTTTATGATAAGCATTGTGATTAGATGCGATTGGTGTTTTCAATAATAGGATTCTGTTCACAATATGCACATCCAAGAGCATTAACATTGGAGAAAAGACTGAAATATGAACTGTTAAACCAATACAAGAATCTCATGCATTTTCAGAACATGGGTTAGCACACACACACATAATAAGACTGGAGATAAGATTGAAATTGTCTAATATATAGTTTAGTTGTCTATGTGACTTAGTTTCCTTCATCATCTCTATTTTTTTGTTTCATTTTCTTTTTTAAATTGCAGCCCGACCCTACTCATTTCTTTTATTGCTCCCACTTATGAACCTTTGCCAATGAGTTCACTATCCTCTGTCTGTACTGGTTTAAAGCAGTTTGTTGGAACTGTTGCTAGAGGTTGGAAAATCACAGTCTTGAGTCAGCATCATGTTGCCACAATAGTTTTAGATGTGGGTATGTCTTTGTTAGGCGTGTGATTCATTTGAGGTGAAATCGTGGCCCCCCTTCTCCCTTCCCTGTTACTGTATTGAAAAGGATCATTTGTTTTGTATCATAATCTTAAGCGTGCAGGTACAAAGAGTACTTAAACGTGCATTGTGTCACTTTTTTGATGGAGGGTCTGACAACTCCTTGTCTCTATAGTTATTGTTTTGCCTAGTATGTCCCACAAAGCTTTAAACTCATCTGTCACCATGAAGATGAGCAGAAATGAAACTAAACCAGGATACAGGTCAGATCTGTGGAGAGGCAACCCCGCTCACAGTCAGAACGCCTATTTTTATAGATATTTTTAAGCAATAAAAACACTTGCAAAGGAATAAATGCAACATAGACAAGTTTAATAGCCTACTGGGAAACACTGAAGGCAGATAATCACATCCCAAGCAGGTGGCGGACCCTCTACCAGAAAAGTTACACAAAGCAATCTTGAGGTTTGATTCTCACTTATGCTGGTACAATAGGTGCTTAGTGTTAGCGTGGGCAAAGGGCTTTCTAATGGAATTTAACTGCCAGCGAAATCTAGTGTAAATAATGTTGCGTTCACCACAATGTACACAGTGCCAGTGCTATCTGCTGTTTTATCCCTTTGTGGCCTTGGCTCTGTGGTCACTCAACCTACCCCCAAATTTTTTCCACAGTAAACTACATATTGTTTCTCCTTGATATAGTCCTGGTTTATTCATGGTCAAGTCCAGGTTTAGTTCCCAGTTTAGTCCTACTTTTTATTGGTGTGCAAGTTTTAACAGTAAAGCTCCTTTTAAACAGTTATTGCATGCTAATACAAGAAGCAATAGGCTCAATTTTACTGTTTGTGTGAGAAAATTTGATTAAGGAAGGCCAGTTATAATGGAAAATGATGTATTCTTTTGAAGCTTCTTGAATTGCCTTAAAGATTAGATTACACTATACTTACTATGATGCCCTGCCTTACTCATGTGGTTGCCTATTACCAAATAAAGGAACAGGGCCTAGACATGTTACCTTTTGCATGCACACCTACTGTGGGTGGTTGCTACATTCCTGCTACGGTTTGTTTAGTCTTTCTCAGCAGATTTGTTTCAACCATTGCTTATTATATGCCATCTATGACACCCAACCCCTGGAAGAAGGAATTCCGAGCTTTCCCATTGTTGTCCAAGGAGGTCAGAGAACGTGCTTGACCCTGGCTGGACAGACTGGCACTGGAGAGAGTGGAGTGGGAATTGCAACAGACACTTTTTTTAATCTTGAAAGACTCTGTAGTGGGCTGTCAGCATGCGTGAGATCAAAGCAAGGAGTAATGGTGGAGAGTGATGTCTTATCCATATTGACCAGTGTAAAAAGAAATTAAAGCCAGAGGAGGTAACTTTTTTGCCACAGCTTAGACTAAAAAAAAGCATATCTTTTTTTCATTATGTGTGTTGTTATTCTTCTAAAAATTAGCTGCATCCTTGTCCTTACTGTGAGTGGACTTTCATCTCCACAAACTTGACTCTTACTTGGCCTGCCTCCTGTTTCCATAGCTGTAATCTTCATAATTATGTTTTTTATGATCGAGTCAATTTTCCGCTGTTGCTCTAGGTATCCAATCACACCACAAAAGTCTGTATAGTACCATTAGTCATCAGTGTTGAGAAGTAACTGAGTACATGTACAGAGAATACATATTTAGAATACAAATTTTGAGTAACTGTATATTGGTGTTAGGGATGTAACAATAACTGAAATATCGTGATATCGTATTGTCAAAGTTCTCACAATAATATTGTAAACCAAGTCTCTTTGCTTAAATTAAGAGTTATGGTGCAGCAATAGTAAAAAAAAAGATAGAAGGAACTACATAGACCATGATCCTTTGCTCCATTTCAGTGTAGACTACAAGAAGAAATAATAGTTCTAGGCACTTTTAAATAAGCATATTAACAGTTTTGTTAGCATCCACAAAATATCGCAATAAGTATCATACCATGAGATGTATATCGTGAAAATATCACACTGAGAGATTTGGATATTGTTACATCCCTATTCGTGAGCCTCCCCACCATATCGTATATATATATCCTACAGCTTTCCCACAACATTGAAATAAATATTGTATCGTGAGGTTCATACTCTGATGATATCGTATTGTGAGACTTGGATATTGTTACACCTGTAAATGGTACAGTTACTTTTTTCATTTGGTTGGTTCCAGTGTTACTTTTCTAAAAACAAAAGAACACACGGAATACACTTGATCACTCAATTTAGGCTTAAAACTGCCCATAACTAGTGAGAAAAATATAAGACACTGCTCGTGATGCGTGCAAGTGTGAATGGATTTTTCCTTCTTTGATGAGTGACTAATAAATACATAACAAATGGTGAAACAAATATAAAGCTGTTCCGTGTTTACACTATAATTTAGATGCAATGTTGTGTGAAAGTATTCAGAGTATTCAGAAGACAGTACTCTGATTGGACCATGTTACAAAATAAATTTTACCTCAAGTATTCAATATTCTGTAACTACATTTTCAAAGTAGTTAGTCATTCATTTTACCTGCACCTGTTTAAAATATTCTTAATAGTCTTAATAATGCTGTTATGTAATGGGAAACCCGGCACAGATAATAGATTTATTAGATAATTTTACAATTGTAGCAGTCAATTTGAGGTCATCAAAAACGCATTCATCGTCTTGTAATGGAATAAGACAGGATAGCTAACACCTAGACTCGTTATGTTTTTTTAAGAACCGGTTTGGTCCATTTGGTTTTGTGACTGGGAGTTGTAACAGTATTATCATATTTACTTCAAGAAGACAACAAATTAGAAGCTGTCACACAGCTTTGGAATTCATGTCAGTTTGACGGAAGTGCTATATTTTTATTAAGAAAAATATAAAGCTGCTTAAAAGCCGAAAATGTACCATAGACTACATATTTCAGATTGAAGAAGAATGAACAATGAATAGTAGGGTCCGCTAGTGGTAACATTTGCTGGATTAGGTTATTGGCTTCCAGATATCGGTTCAGATGATATCGTGGTTGGACCATAGATTGTATAGAATGTAAATGGACATAGTTAACGCACTAGCCTCCGCGTTTCAAGTGGGAAGTGTTTATGGAGGCGCTTCTGGCTCTTTTGACTCAGAGAACCTCATTTTGGTCTTAAAATGTTCATATTAACCCTGATCCTGGTGTTTTTATTTTGCCATTTTGTTTGTTAATACATTCCTATTCCTAATATATACCTGTCTCCAAATTCGTATCATTTAGTGTGATGATACAGTATTGATATTGTTGGATGCTGTATTGATATATCGGCCAGAGTATTTTTTTTTGGTGTATTTTACTAAATAATTTTCTTACAGCGCTACAGTTTTGTTGCTTGTTTAGTGGAAGGAAACTCAGCACATTTGACATTTTCACTGTTTTGAGGATAAAAATTTTGTGTTTTATATTAACTTTGCACAAGAAGGGGTTTAATAAAGACTTTTAGTATCACAGCCGTGATTTAGACTTTATTTTTTATTGAACCATATCGAATCGATTTGAAGTATATCAAATCGAAAGTGCGCTGTATCGAAGTATGTATTGTATTGGCAACTTCTTAATGATACCCAGCCCTAATCATGAGTGTCACACTTTAGTCCACTTCTATATACAGTCTATGTTACACATAAGGAAAATTATCTTTTTTTCCATATATTTTTACATTTGTCTTAGGATAAATTGCAGTAGTTACCAAAAAAACAGAGCTACAATGACACAAAAACTAAAATTAAAACACACAAAAAAAGTTGTAAAC